GGGCAGCCAGATATAGTGAGGGGTAGATCTCAGGGGTATTTAAAACTATGGGTTAGTCACCAATATCGAATTTCGAATTTTAATCTTCCTTTATCACAAACAATTTTCAATTTTAAACAATAAATACATTTAGACGCGGGCGCACGCTATTCACACTCAAAACGGAAGCGCCCGGAACATAGATTATACACTGTTAAAAGATAGACATAGATGCTAACTATGTATAGCGAGCGGGCATACGGCCGCGAGAGTGACGTACCGGTCGGTTTGCTACAACGTATATAATTATGTATGTCAGTCTCTAGTATATGGAATCCTAATTTGAAGTCAAATAGCCGTGCGCGATTTTTCCCAGTTATTATTACTATCGTTATGCGCTGGGGCTTGGGATAAATAAAAAAATCTACTGAATTAAAAGTTAATACTGTATTAGCACTTAGAACACTTAAAACACTCAATAAACACTTTAAAACTCTCAATTCGCTTCTTCCGCTTCGCTCCAGGAGATCCGTTCGCTGTTTCGCTTCGAGTACTTCCGATTACTAAATGACTGATCCCCAGAAGACCACATCCCCAGAATTATCGAGAATATTCCACACATTTCGAGTATTGTGTTTCCGCGACCTGACAATAGATGGCGTTGTACTTCTCGAGCGTTCTAGACGCTACTAGATCCTTCGACATTCGTTTGACTATTCGGCGATAGATGGCGTTACTGTTACCGGCGTAACACTATCATGACACTATATTTGTTTAAAATCTTATTAATTATACAATATATTTTTTAAATATATTACAAATACATTTTTTTTAAAACACTATATTAAAATAGATTGCCGCTGACGGCAGTGTCTACGGCACAAGCCACCAGTGGTTAGGACTCCAGATTGAGAAACCTCCTTACAATACGCACAGTAAGTATCGAGGATAACTGCCTTCTGTATCAGGCCCCTAACCCAGCTGGATAACAAAAGTTTCTTAAGATGCTGATCGAGACTTTTTGCTATCAAACCGTTTACCGACACAACTATTGGAACAATGATGGTTGAATCAACGCCACATGGTGGTAGTCTCTAGGGCCAGGTTGAAATATTTTATTAATTTGTCCTTTTCTGCCTACACGAGGTTCCCGTCATGAGGAATGGTGATATCAACCAACACTGCTCCACGCGCAGACCGATCTATTTGAATCACAATATCAGGCTTATTGGCAACAATATACCTATGATAATAGATCGGTCCCAGTAGAGCGTAACATGATCATTTTCAAGAACCGGTTGAGGTTGGTATTGGTAATAAGTAACAGCAGAACCAAGAAAGCCATATCTCAGAGCAAGTTGTTGATGGATAATCCCAGCCACTTGTTTATGTCTATGCAAGTACTCGCCGTTAGCAAAACGAGAACAGCCAGAAACGATATGTCTAATAGACTCTCCCGGACGGTGGCATGCCCGACAAATGTTATCTGTCCCATCCTTTAGTATATATTTCCGGTAGTTGTTCGTCATGATAACTTCGTCCAAATAATTGCAAAAATATTATTATTATTATTTATTTATATTTATTTAAAATCTTATTAATTACATAATATTTTTTTAAAAAGATATGAAAAATACAATTTTTAAAAAACACTATATAAGAATAGATTGCCGCTGATGGCGGTGTCTACGGCACAAGCCACCAGTGGTTAGGACTCCAGAGTGAGAAACCTCCTCACAATGCGTGCAGTATCGAGGATAACTGCCTTCTGTATCAGGCCCCTAACCCAGCTGGATAACGAAAGTTTCTTAAGATGTTGATCGAAACTTTTCGCTATCAAGCCGTGTACTATTATTATTATTATTAATTGAATTCATCAACCTGTAACCCTTTATCCAATTCATCAATCAAAAATTAAAAAAAAAAACGTCCGACGTGCAGCATGGAGACGTGCCTCGTGCGATCACGAAATGGAAAGTTCACTGCGTGCACGGTGTAACTCTTCACCTTCGCTTCGTAGAGTCGTTAAATGCCTGCGTAACGTGTTATAATTCGGTAGAAATGTCAATTAATGTCAAACGTTACACGTTCCGTTGATATAACATTTCGCAAATACCGATCGGTTCTGTTTATGTCAAGAAACAAAATCATATATACACATTAAAAGACACGAATCTCAAGAACGAATTGCGGCGTGTTGGCGTAATGCTTAATACAAACTTGTTTCAATGTCACAAATATTTTGACCCTGGAATAGCCCCCTCTGCTACCAGCGAATAGTTTTTTCTTTACCTTACCCCATAAGGAAAAGAAAAAAGTATTTTGACGCATATATTTCTTTTGCGAGTTTTTTAACGTTCTCGATAGCGTAAAAGTTAACCCAACTTTGTGTGCAGTTCGAACAGCGCCCCTAGCGGCAAACGTAGGGAAACGATCCAATTCCATAAAAATATGAGCTAACTTTTACGCTATCGAGAACGTTAAAAAACTCACAGTATGACAGTAAGCACACTGAACTGTTGCCCCTTTGTTTCCCAATGATTTTCAACGTTTTACGAATATGTTTTACGAAAATTACGTAACATTTATTATTTTATGGATGGGTATCGTGGATTGCGTAAATAGACAGTTATTTCAATTAAACGCACTTTATACTACCTCGACCTAAAAAGGATGTAAGTAAACGTTTTTTTAAACTTAAAAAAATAATTGGGTAGTTATCTTTATACAGTCGTAATATAAAATATTTGAAAGCTTAGCTTATGTAAAAATAGTATTTATAAGATTTATTATTTGTATTTTTTCTTCGGTTTTCGCTAGTTGCCGTCGTGGCAACTGACACTCGTGGATATACCAGCACCAAGGGCTTACAGCTGAACCACTACGTATTTCATAAGACTGATTTCAAATTTAATTTGAAGTAGGTTATCTTATAGGACTCGAGAAACCCCATCGAGAGGAGTTCATTCTAAAGTAGGAATAAACATGGCAAAAAATATCTTTGGAAACGAACTGTGAATGAGTGTATGGGATGATTAACGGCGAAAGGTAAGATCTTCCACAGAGCGGGTGATATTTGCTCGGTAGACCGACGGTCCGAATGCTGTTGTTCGGAACTTGTATAAACGCAAGCTTATCTTGAAAATGTCGTAAGCGAGATTCAGGCGTCTGTCAAATATCTTGCGTTGTATGATGGCTACCCGCCCCAAGTGTCTCCAGGAGAGTGTGAATGAATTCTGCTCTGGCAATGAGTGATGAGTTCAAAACTCAGAGAGAACCTAACTATGACTCTTCGTAGACCCAAAGGGTCCTAAACTAGCATATTGCGAGCGTTCTCATTTCTCAAAGCGGAACGAGCGCGCAACGAACACGCTGTGCATGCGCAGCGAATTCGTGGCGGACGCGCTAGGAAATCGTCGCCAATAGCAGCAGAGACGCCATCTTGTAGGTAGGTATATTGTTGTACAAGCCCCGGCCCGTCCGCCCCGACTCACTTCAGTCCGTATGTCTTCATGTCTTAAGTTAGTTTGTATCAGATGCAATAATTCATAAAATATAGGTCTTGACATTCGCATGTAGGAGAGCGAAATTATTTTCGATTATTTTTTTTCATTTTCAAAAAAACACAAAGTAGTGGCTCTTCTCTTTCATTCGATTTAATTGATAATGGATCCTCCCCAAGTCGTCGATGCTTTCGTTTTCGTCTCCTCCGGCGTCTTCGAAGTAATAAAGCCAATAGCAGTATTTCCTCGTCGGAATCCATTTTTTGTTACTGAGTGTATTGTACGTCGTTAACTTGCTACAAATACGCGACGAAAACGTCGCACGTCTGCCACGGGTCGGCGATGTCCTCGCTGTGCAGCCGCGGCATCTTCACGGCGCATTTGCTGCGCATCTGCTCCACCCTGTAAGTGCTCGCAAACCGCTAGTATGATAAGGCCTATAGGCTTCGAACGTTTAATTTAATTCAGTACCTAGTTAAAATTAAGTTTTGTTCTTAACCAGTATTAAAGTTTTGATAAATAATACTTTGGTCGTTCGTGAGCATAGAAACTTAGTCTGCGAATCATTGAATAAACGAATTTATTATGAGGACTTAGGAAGTAGGATACAATCTACTTAAAAAGATTCGAAAGGCTTCAAGGTTTTTTATGGAGATAAGGTTGATATATCATGTTCGTCGTTTCAAAAAAGTAAAAAAAGTAATCAACATGCAAATTCTAAGAATCTAATGCTAATTTTTAATCAAAATTTTAATTAACCATCAGATCCATTTACTTTGAACTACGTTTGCATTAAAATGCTTTAGTCATGAATTTTACCTTTTTTCATATTTGACAATGACAAATTCATAAGTCACAAATCGTAACAAACCTGTCAAAAATGACAAACCCACGAAGTAAGACAGTGCTGTGTTGACGAATGAATGAAAACGGGTTTAAAAATACAAATTAATGAAAACCCTTAGTAAATATAATTTAAAATCTTCAAGCCATCTTCGATTAGAGCCCCTATAAATTAATAAGTGCTGTGAATGTACAAATGTCAGTGAAACAAAATGTATTTTCCGATTGGTTGGCCAAAAGTTTTGAAGAACCTAACTGATGATAATCAAATTATTAAACAGATCGTGTCAAATAGAGACAAAGTACTGTTCGCAGTGCTTACGGATGACTGTCTCATGGTATGGTTTTGTAAGGTACGTTAACGGTATTTTATTAATTAGTAATGTCATTTTGTAAAAAACAGGACTTGTGGTTTTCTTACATTCGTGAGAGACCATACTCATCATTAAACGCATATTTAAACCTATACTAACAATTTTTCGCTAATCGAGTTTATGAATGAAATAATTCTGTTTACTTACAACTTCTTTGTTTACTTATGAATAGAGTATTGAAAACGTTTGTTTTTTTTTTACTAATAATGTTAAACACAAGCAAAATATTCCCATTTTATGGTATAAATATTGTATTGTCATAAATTAGATGAGAATTAAAAAAAAGCATAAACCACAGATTATAGATACAAATATTTCTGTTTATCACATGCCATTGAGATGTCTTGATAAGTACTTAACTGAGTACTGCACAATCACAGGACATTTACCCTTTATGTAAATAAAATTTATTTCACAACCACTATATCTAAATTTCTGTAAATACTAGAAACAGAACCATTGCCATAAGGTAGTAAGAACATGGACAATAATAACCTCATTTACAAATCAAACTTGTGCCACATCAGTTAAAGATTATAGTATAGAAGAATAATTTGTCCATTAAAGTTGCACCTTTAGAATTATAAAGACTCATTTTGAAATTTTTTGGATTTCGACTGTAATAAAAAAATTGACCTAGAATGACCCCTTTCAGCGCCTCTTAATAGTCTTATCCATCGGTCTCTTTCACTCAGTCCCCTTCCTCTGTGTTTCTTGGGTTAGAAAAGGTTATTCAATGTTTTCCAACAAACACATTTTTTGGGTTAAGTCTCTATCTAATGTGTGGTGTGGTGTTCATGAAAAATAACATAAATACATATATTTTACATTGAGACTAGTGATCTTGGTTCCATTTTAGGTATATATGGATCATCGTGGCCTAACGGATAAGACGTCCGGTGCATTCGTGTTGAAGCGATGCACCGGTGTCTGAATCCCGCAGGCGGGTACCAATTTTTCTAATGAAATACGTACTCAACAAATGTTCACGATTGACTTCCACGGTGAAGGAATAACATCGTGTAATAAAAATCAAACCCGCAAAATTATAATTTGCGTAATTACTGGTGGTAGGACCTCTTGTGAGTCCGCGCGGGTGGGTACCACCACCCTGCCTATTTCGGTTTGAAGGGTGGGGCAGCCGTCGTAACTATACTTGAGACCTTAGAACTTGTATCTCAAGGTGGGTGGCGCATTTACGTTGTGGATGTCTATGGGCTCCAGTAACCACTTAACACCAGGTGGGCTGTGAGCTCGTCCACCCATCTAAGCAATAAAAAAAAAAACTCATCACCATATTAAATATATTATTAAAAGAGTTATTTTTTAAGCATTCATTACGAAGATTCAAAACTTACTAAACGAGCATCAAATAAAATAAAATAGTTTTAAATATAGTATATCCAACTTGCAAAAACTGAAGATGATACTGTTCAGGTCTTTAGTTTGTGTAAAGTCACCATATGTATGTGTTGAGTAGTCTTGTCGTAGATAATCTTAATTAGCAACCAGCAAGAAAACTTTTCATTGATTAAAGCCATTGTGTTGAAGCACTCTACGAAAACAATTGGAAGCAATCAACCATATAACCTTCAAGCAATCAAACATATATCTTTTCTGCCATGTACCATCCAGCTTTGGAATGAACTCTCCTGGATGGTAATTCCTAAGTGCTATGACGTCCTTTTTTCAAATGAGACTTGCGAAGAGTCCTCAATAGTAAGCAGCGGCTTGGCTCTGCCCCTGACATTGCTAAAGTCCATGAGCGACGGTATCAGTAGGGGCGGATGCTTGTGTGCCTAAAAAGGCAATAAAAAAATACACGTGTGGCACTCGCGGACTGCCGCGGTAAAGCTATTGCATAACGTTTTTTATCAACTTATCCAATTGTAATTAGACAATAATAATTTAATATTAAAACAATAATAAAATAAGGCAACACTATATTTATAAACATTAACAAAACCAAAACATTAACTGTTCCCTTCACACTCATAAGCTAGACCACGCGAGAGAGAGATGGGCAGACTATTCATGTTGCGCATGCAGTGCGACATCACGCCGCGCGCTTATTCACAAACTACACAAGCGCAACGTGTGAATGTGTTGAACGCGAACTACATGATAGTGGGGGGTGTTAGCTTTTATTTTCGTTACGAAATTTCTTTATTCGGTCGCCGCACTCAAAGCCCGTTACAAAAGCTATTCGATAGCTTAATAAATAAAAAGAGTGTTGTCATTATATTAACAAATTATGCTATAATAAATAAATATAAATATATATAATAAATAAATATAATAAGTATAATAAATGCATTTACTGCACTTTTTCAGCCGACTCTACCAATAGTTTACCACAAAAGAAGTACAGAATCATTGCAAAGACTTGGTGTTAATGTTGGTGTCGAATGGAAACCAGATTCATCTATGATATGTATTTCAGTAAGTAAAACTTTTTATGTTAATACCAATTTTTTGATATATGAATTTTATTATTTGTTTTGAGTATATGAGATGTTGAAATATGACATCTTTATTTAATTTGTATCCATGAAGATAATTTACGTTTCAGACATCAGAAGGCCACCTTATTCTCTATAACGTAGAAACGCTCAGTGATCAAACAGCATACCAGCAGTTTGATCCTCCAACAGCAAGTCTCCGACGAGACTCAGCTGAGCTTTTTGTTAAGGAAGTAATACCATCACTTAAAATATCATTGGTAAGTTTAAGCTCTTATGGCTTATTGTGAACACACAGGTAAAAACTTAAATTAAAATACTAAATATTGAAGTTCAATTAAAAAATCTAAAAGATAAATGAAAATGACATTATGAATGTGGTCTCTCTCAGCAGTAAGTACTCATTAAACAGAGCTAAAAAATTTTAAAATTCCGTTTGGTTTTCAGTTCAAAGAAATCTTAGTATGGGATGGTCAGATCACCCGAATGTGTTGTATATCTGGTACAGAAATCCTAGTTTGTACTACACGAGCACATCTGTTAAGGTACAGATGGGACGGTACACAGAACCGCGATTACTGTTTGGACTTGGGCCGTATACCATTCTCTATAAATCAACAGGTTTCTAAAGGTACGTCTAAATTATACTGGGTTTTAATTGTTTTTATTGTTGACCTAACCTCATGAGTGGAGTCAGTGCTCCTATACTATATGTATATATATATACACAAGCAATGGACTGTCTAAAAGCTTGAATATGAATTGCCAGTAACATGCGGTACTAAATGACACCATAATGTGGTTAATGCAGTAGGAATACCTGGAAACATGAGACTAATTGCTTAAATGACTATCATTTATTATATGAAACACTAGGGTGGTCGTTATTTAGGGTTTATCCGAAAAAAAATTCACGATAGTCCTGAATTTTGCGGTAGGTAGCGGCTTGGCTCTGCCCCTGGCATTGCTGAAGTCCGTGGGCGACGGTAACCACTCACCATCAGGTGGGCCGTATGCTCGTCTGCCTACAAAGGCAATAAAAAAAAAAAAGAATCGGTTCGAAATCTATTAAAAAAAATTCGTGCCAAGCTATAGCTCTTAAGTTTAATTTTAACCCGGCCCCCGATAACCTAACTTTTAAATAGAAATAGCAGGGGAAAAAACCTGTTGAAAAAATTACCTGTGGAAAAAATTACTTTGAAATTTTTTAAGTCTTGAACTTGAAATGAACAAATCGTGTCGGCAATCTTTAAAAAAATCTCGTAGACAACGCTTTACAAAAAAGGTCGATTTTTTGCTAACTCTAACGGTTTCTGAGTTATTTAAGGTCACAGTTGGAGCTTAAGTCAATTTTACCATTTTTCTATTTCTACTGTCGTTTAATGATTTAAAAATGAAAAAAAAAATTGTAATTCATAATTTAGATGCCTTTTTTTTAACCTTCACGCATGCTCTAAAATGTATTCAATTTCTCAATAAATAATATTTGTATTAAAATAATCAAGGTACAAAAAAAATCTGTTCACCACAGACGAGAACTTCTAAGAACAGGTCTAACGTTCTCTGTCGGACATCTCTATTATTATCAGCGACACGCCAAGATCTCTATCGATAAAGCGATATGATGTAATTAAATTTCATATCGGTTTTTAATTGCAGCCGAACCGATAATCGAGGATAACACCCACGTGAATGACATAGAGTACTCTCCTCTTGTCTGCGGCTTTGGTATAACACTCAATGATGGCCGGGCAGCGTATCTCACCGCTCCCAACCTCAAGTTCGATCCTAATGTAAGTAAACATTAAAGTAACTGTCATAATTTTTTTTATTTTTTTTCATTTTTTTATTGTTTATTTATTAAATAATAAAGAAAGCTTTGTAGGCAGCGGCTTGGCTCTGCTCCTGGCATCGCTGAAGTCCATGGGCGACGGTAAACACTCACCATCAAATGGACCGTATGCTCGTTTGCCTACAAGGGCAATTAAAAAAAAAAGTTGTGATAATTAACAAAATTTACCTGAGAGCATTTTGGCTTTAGGTAATTAAATAATTAAACAAGAGTAAACCTTATATGATATATGATATTATTATACACAATTAAACCTTATGTGATATATGTATATGTGGTATATGTATCAAATGTTATAGTCCCACAGGATCCATTAAGAGTCACAGTCTTAAGAATAACTGACATAATCAAGTCGTCAGTCTCTTCAAGAGACAAGACTCTTATTAATTTTTATTTCTTTGTGTGTTTGTTTGTGTTGTGAATATTCAAGATACTTTTCAACTGTGGCTGGCATGACATAGTAATAGTGAATAACTCAAGCTACAGAACTGTACTGTGCTAACTGTGAACTTTACTACTTCTTATAATAATTATTATTGCATTCTGGAATTTCAATTTTTTATTTGTCTGCAAACTTACTACAATTTGATTCATAATGAATACCGTCACGCCCTTATAAAATGTTAATTTAATTGTTATTTACTTTATATTTTATCTGTATTAAAATAAGAGATCGGATAATCGCATACAGACCTAAAGTTCAAGTGATGGCTATAATAAAAGTATTTAAAAAAAAGACAAAATCTAGAGTTTTTGCTTTTTTTATTAATCAAATTTCTAAAGGAAAAAAAGGAATTATTTCATAAGCTATCCTTAAGAAATAAATAAATCGTACAAAGTTGAATAAAAAGATTTGGGTAAATTTAGGTTTTTTAATTTAGTACACCACACCTTTCCTTCACACCCTACATATTCATATAGTTCAATGTGGGGTTCAAATTTATTGTATAGTCCGATATTCGACTAGACTAGCAAAGTCGAGATTTTATTTTCAATAAAAATCTGTTCTCAGAATCCCTAATATGTCAGACGAAAATTACTTTTAGATCAATATGGATCTGATTATCCGATCTCCGATTATAATAACCAACAGTTAAAAGGTATTTCAAAATCTATTATTTATATTTGTTTTTAAAGTAGTTAACGATATGGTAACATTATTTGTTATGTGGCAGTCATTATTGGAAACTGACGTTTTGGTGAGAACCGTTTGGGATTTTGTATCCGTTTTGATAAGTAGGGGATTGTTTTATGTATCACTGCTAATTAAACAAGTACAATGTAATATCAATGGACGATAAAAGCTTAATTTAAAGGTAAAAGCCAAATAATATGAAGGGTTGCTAGTTGACTGCACGTATTTTGTTTAACTAATTTATTGAAACAATAAAATTGTGTTATTTGTAATCAGTTCAGTGTTGCTACTTCTGAAAAAAATATCTAGTAGAATTGTTCTTTTTTTTCTTCTTATACATCTCATGCATTAGCACTCACACTTAATCTATTTGTATGAATATAGAAGCTATCAAGTCAATGTAAATTCAACCTAATGTCGACGTTGATAAAGTCATTTGTTTCAAATCAAAATTACAAATATCTTTACAAGTGTATAAGGCTAGCATTATTGATGCGACTTTTAGTCGAAGCGTTACAATCTCGCTTAGAAACCTTAAAACTATAGAAAAAAATCCAACCATCTTAAGTTGACCCTTATTTATCAGTCACAGAACTATCTCACAGTAATTTGCAATTAACAGGTTACATTTGAATTTTTTCAGGCAGTCCAGGGTATTTGGGCCCAGGGTATCGATGATGCGACGTGCACTAGAGTCAATCACAAGTTTAGGCTCATCGCCATCGGAAGACGGAAGTGAGTTGAATCGGATTACTGTATTTTCTTATGAGACGCCCAACTGGAGTTCAAAAGAGAGTTCTTAGGGGGGAAGGGTGGTAGAGTTATGTGATATCTTAGTGGGTTCTTTATACCCTACCTAGAGTCAATAAACCAGTAAAAGTTTTTTACTGATTTATGTGACGGATGGGAAAAATCTTACCACTGCAGGAGAGCGATGGTGTCAGTCAATGAAATGCGAGGCTTTGTAATATTTCAGTTCTCAAGTGGAGGTGTTCACGATAGACGAGGCGACTGGCGGACTGGAGCTGTCGCACACGATGGTGCTCAGCTCCAAGGACTTTCCCGGCGACCCCGGACCAGTCAAATGTATCAGGTATTTGACAGATGTCTGAATTTCACTTACGACATTTTCAAGATAAGCTTGCATATATACAAGTTCCGAACAACAACATTCGGACCGTCGGTCTACCAAGCAATATCACCCGCTCGGTGGAAGAGCTTCCTTTCGTCGTATACTTACAAACTGGTGACCTGCGACGGAACAATTGGAGCCTTCACACTTCCTCATAAGCGCATCAAGAACTTCGACTACCACAGTTCCCGCACTATCGCAGATAAAAACAAGTCATCAACAGTCGTCCCACAGCATTGCAGCTTCAACAGGTCCATCGCAGCCGACTCACGGCGTTTCCTGGTCCTACGACACATACCTTCACTACATCATCACGCCACTACAGTCCATCGTGTATTCGTATGAAGTGGTGTTCACTTAGATGAACTAATGGTCCATTGCGCAGGTGGACAGCAGACGGTCGCACCGTGGCAGTGAGCTGGTCTCGCGGCGGCGTGTCGGCGTGGAGCACGTTCGGGGCGCTGCTGATGTGCTCCCTGGCCTGGGACTACGGGCTCAGCCAGGACCTCGGCAGGCACGACCCCCTGCTCGTCACCAGTATGGTAATACTGTTACTTGTTTATTCCTACTTATTCTAGTAACTTTGAGGGGTTTTTTTATTGCTTAAATGGGTGGACGAGCTCATGGCCCACCTAATTTTAAGTGGTTACCGGAGCCCATGGACATCTAAAATGTAAATGCCGCCACTCGCCCTAAGATATGAGTTCTAAGGTCTCTGTATAGTTACAACAGCTGTCCCGCCCTTCAAACCGAAACGCATTACTGCTTCACGGCAGAAATAAGCGGGGTGGGGGTACCTTTCCGTGCGGACTCACATGAGGTCCTACAACCAGTAATTACGCAAATTATAATCTACCACCGGATCGGAAACGCAACCCACTGAAAAGATCCGGCGAGAAACTCAGTGGGCTGTGTCTGTGGGTTAATTTACTCGCCGAACCCTTCGTCGCAAGCGGCGGGTTCGACGAGAACGATGATCGGTTACTGTAGCTACTGCTGTACCCGGTCACGCCACCACATCGGTATGGGTCACTGTCGAAATATTAATTTTATTTGCGTGCAGATCCCACTCGCTGTTAAAGTCTTCTGGTCCTTCGAATGGCTACTAGTGACGCGACTCTCTAGTTCAACGCCCGCATGCTAGATGTCGTTGCTGGCACTGAAACCGAACTTAGTACTGAACTGTTGCGTTCTGCGCAGGAATGGGCCACGGAGGGCTACCAGCTGTGGATGGTGAAAGTGGAGAACGATTCCAGAACGAATCTCATACAGTTGGACTTCGTGAAGAGTCCGCTAAGCGTCAACCCGTGCATGGTGAGCGAATGTTTTTTAATTTTTTTTATTATTATTTTATTATTGCTTATATGGGTAGACGAGCTCACAGCCCACCTGATGTTAAGTGGTTACTGGAGCCCATAGACATCCACAACGTAAATGCGCCACCCACCTTGAGATATAAGCTGTAAGGTCTCAGTAGAGTTACGACGGCTGCCCCACCTTTCAAACCGAAACGCATTACTGCTTCACGGTAGAAATACGCGGGACCTACCTACCTACTCTCTCTCTCTCTCTACTAATTATATTGTATTTTTATAAATTCATATTGCAGAGCAACCAGCGCCACCTGTACCTGCAAGCCGACGACAAACTCTACATAAACATAGAGGACAATCTCACGAAGCGAACCAAGATCCCGATAATCGACTCCTCGGCGGACTCGTACCAGACGGAGAACGGGTACCAGGAACCCGCGGCCCTGGACTACGAGCCCCCCAGCAACTACAAGGAGTTCGTCGACGACAACGAGTGCAGGAAGCAGTGGATCGTGCTGCCGCTTCCTGCCACTTACATAGCCACCAACTGGCCTCTGCGGGTAGGTGCTCGTGAACTGTAGTCGCATTTAACAATATTGTGGTTTGGCGGGTACCAATTTCTCTAATAAAATACGTAATTAATAAATGTTCACGATTGACTTCCACGGTGAAGGAATAAAACATCGTGTAATAAAAATCAAATCCGCAAAATTATAATTTGCGTAATTACTGGTGGTAGGACCTCTTGAGAGTCCGCGCGGGTAGGTACCACCACCCTGACTATTTCTGCTGTGAAGCAGTAATGCGTTTCGGTTTAAAGGGTGGGGCAGCCGTTGTAACTATACTGAGACCTTAGAACTTAACCTTAAGGTAGGTGGCAGCATTTACGTTGTAGATTTCTATGGGCTCCGGTAACCGCTTGACACCAAGTGGGTCGTGAGTTCATCCACCCACCTAAGCAAGAAAATAAAAATAAAAATAGCCGTCGGAGAGCACCGTGGTTCGTGAGAACCTACACGACGACCTGGGCCACGAATTAATTAGGAAACACATGAAGTCAGCGTCGGAACGGTACTTCGATAAGGTTATGCATCATGATAATCGCCTTATCGTTGCCGCCGCTGCCTACTCCCCGAATCCTGATCACGCAGGAGCCAGTCACCGTCGACGCCCTAGACACGTCCTTACGGATCCATCAGATCCAATAACTCCTAGATTAAACGCCTTCAGCTCTAATACTAGGAGCAGGTTTAAGGACCCCGGTAACCGTACTCGTCGAACTCGACCAAGAGTTCGACGTGCAACCTAACCTATGCATCAGCCCGTTGAATTTATTGCCGGATCTTCTCAGGGGCTCGTGATTCCGCGGTAGTGGATTCATTCGCGATGCAGTTGCTCTTGAGTTGTTAGGTCTCCTTTGGAGGCGCGCGGGCAGCTGCTAGCTAATCCCACCCCTCCTGGGTGAGCCTTTGCTCGCCCGCTTGTCCTGATGAAAATGGAAAGACTTCCGGGCCAGTAATCTTTCCTTCATAAAAAAAGCGTACTCTTCATTGTACACACAAATAAACACAAATGCAAAATATTAAACATTAGTAATAAAGTCGGGATCTAGTTTAAAAATTTTTAAGGGATTTTATGACCTGGAAACTAAGACCTTTAAGTCATGTTCAGTTAACCACCGTTATTACACATTTACAAAAATACACATTTTGTTTTTCCTTTTATGTGTACCCTTGATGTCTTTTATTTATCGATTGAGGCACTACGAAGTCTGCCGGGTCAGCTAGTTTGAGATAAATGATTTTGAATTTGGAATGTTTACGAGTGCACATGTCGTGTTGCAGTACAGCGCGCTGGAGGGGGGCGGCGCGCACGTGTGCGTGGCGGGGCGCGCGGGGCTGGCGCACTACAGCCGCGCCGCGCGCCGCTGGAAGCTGTTCGGGAACGAGGCGCACGAGAAGGGCTTCCTCGTCACCGGCGGCATGCTGTGGTGGAGGGACCGCATCGTCGTCGGTCAGCACCCTAAGCCCATACTTCACTCTCAGCTAAATTATTATAGGTTTTTTTTTATTGCCTAGATATGTGGACGAGCTCACAGCCCACCTGGTGTTAAGTAGTTACTGGAGCCCATAGACAACTACAACGTAAATGCGCCACCCACCTTGAGACATAAGTTCTAAGGTCTCTTGTATAGTTACAACGGCTGCCCACCCTTCAAACCGAAACGCATTACTGCTTCACGGCAGAAATAGGCAGAGCGGTGGTACCTACCCGTGCGGACTCAGGAGAGGTCCTACCACCAGTAAAATTAATGAGAGGATTCATTTAAAAATAAGTCAAAGGTGCGATGGTGGTGGTCATAAAGACGAATGGAGTGCTCAACTTGAGAGGATTTCCTAAATCTGCTTTAGCAAGAGCAGTGGTACGCTCAATTTTCTTTAATTGCTGTTATACCAGCGTATGACCCAGCTGATGGTGAGCTTTTACCGTCGCTTATGGACGTCAGCAATGCTTGGGCCACAGCCAAGTTCAGCCTTTTCCGCTACGTCTATCGGATCGGAATCCTGATTTACTAAACCGGCCAGAAACTTGTGAGTTATAAGAGTTGCCCATTTTCCGGTAAATCCTTTAGTTGATTTTACGATATCTCTAGGATAAGACTGGAAGTGCCATTCTAGGCCAACACCGTCCAACCATGACTGTCTATACTAATATATAAATCTACAGTGGTTTTTACGGATGTTCCGTTATAACTACCGAACCATGCATCCGATTGACTTGAAACTTGGTATCCATGTAGAAAATACATGTACGTAATGGATAGGCTAATATTTATATGAGTGTTGGACTCCCTACACCAGTTGCGGGGGCGTTAATGATGGGAATCTTTGTGGGGGTGAGAGATAATAATGTTAATTTTAAATGCCTGTTTGTTGTTTTCCTGTAAACAACATCCTATAACAAAATTCAATCAGACCGTTGATGTCGTGATGACGTACACAAAGGACGGTGTTGGCTCGCAAGGCGCCAACATATAAACACGACTCACGCCAACACCACACTCCAGGCTGCTACAACGACCTGGACGGCCACGACGAGGTCCGCTTCTACCCTCGCGAGTGCCGCCTCGACAACAAGTTCGCGAAGATAGTCCGCGTGCAGGCGCAGGTCTTCGCCCTGGACATGCTCGACGACCAGCTGGTGGTCTTCGGGGCGGACGCACTCGTCACTATATACGAGCTGACGTGTGCAGATAGTGGTGAGTTTATCCGGGCAGCCGAGCGGGACATATGACGATTTGGTACTGGCGATGTGAAGTGTGGTTTGAGGATTTGTGTATCTGTTTTTTTTTAAAGGATTTTATGACCTGGTAACTAAGACCTTTAAGTCATGTCTTATTTTAATTTATATTCTTATTTTTATGAAAAATGATAAATATGGAGTGAAATGAAATGAAATGAAGATGATTAATTTGAGACATTAAACAACTGGATTAAATTAATAAAAATGAGATGAGATGATATGGGATGAAATATAATCTCAGTAAATGGTGGTCGTTTACTGTGGTTTTTTCAGTGGACTTTTTGGAGGATCTCATAAAGTTACGTCCAGCGGCTTTGTGTCATTTTCCCACATTTGTCCACTTTCACAGATACTAAATAGTTAATAAACCACCGTTATTAGACATTTAAACCTGAAGAAACACAAAATAGACAAAATAAAACAAATCACATAACTTCACTCCTTGCGTTCCCGCCAAAAAGTCCCGTGTCTACTTGTGTTGCAGCCGGCGACATTGACATGCGCTGCGTGCAGGCGGTGGACGTGTCGGCGCTGTCGCACCCGGCGTGCGTGGTGTCGGCGGCGCTGTGCCGGCTGCAGCACCCCCAGCAGCACCGCGCGCGCAGCCCCGCCGCGCCGGACTCGCTGGTCGGTACTGCACACCCACATCCACTGAAACTGGCCCTTATGAAGTCGTTGTGGCCTAACGGATAAGACATCCGGTGCATTCGTGTTGAGTGATGCACCGGCGTTCGAGTCCCGCAGGCGGGTACCAATTTTTCTAATGAAACACGTACTCAACAAATGTTCACGATTGACTTCCACGGTGAAGGAATAACATCGTGTAATAAAAATCTAACCCGCAAAATTATAATTTGCGTAATTACTGGTGGTAGGAAGTCTTGTGAGACCGCACGGGTAGGTAACACCACCCTGCCTATTTCTGCCGTGAAGCAGTATTGCGTTTCGGTTTTAAGTTAACCTAGTGTTAAGTGGTTACTGGAGTCCATAGACATCTACAACGTAAATGCGCCACTCACCTTGGGATATAAGTTCTAAGATCTCAGTGTAGTTACAACGGTTGCCCCACCCTTCAAACCGAAACCCATTACTACTTCACGTCAGAAATAGGCAGGGTGATGGTACTTACCCGTGCGGACTCACAACACATCCTACCACCAGTAATATCAGTGTATCTATATATCTATTTAACTTATCGATTAATCATGAACCAGTCGCATGTCTGCACCGCAGCAGAAATAGATGCAAAGCACCCTAAAACCGCCCTAAACTACGTATGTGATATGTGATTCCCTTCCAGGTCATAAACGCGAGCGGCAGACTCATGATGGTGCAGAGAGAAGAGTACGACGTCGACGAAGACAACAATCCGGTAAGTGCCACAGAGTGCTGCTGCATTTTGAAGTTATACTTCTTTAGGCGCGTTATGAAAAATTGATGAGAGTGAAATTTCACGATGCGCGCGCACCGTGACACAAAATTAACAGAATGAAGTTGTCCACTAGATCGCTCATTACAATACGACCGACGTAACTTGACTACTCTTATTTTTACATTAAGTATTAGTACAAATTTTGAGCGTAGGACCATGATGACATACCACGCAATTTGTAGGACAATGTGGGAGGTAAACTATGCAAATATTAGCTAACCAATAAATAAAAAAACAGCTGATTAGTAATTATTTTTCATGACCTTGTTTACGATACATGTTGGAGAGGGGGGACTCCCTAACAAAACCTTATATTTTGTAGGACAAATATTTTTTCATGTTATTTAGATAATTATCGCGATAATTAACAAAGAAAAATTCGGTTAGTAATAAATTTTTCAACATATTTTATCCTTGCTACCCCTAGTAAGCTACCACTTACCAACTTTACTGTAAGGAAAAAGTCGGGCGTCTAGTCTAAAGGAAGCTACTCACGAAAAATCAGCTTGTAAGTAATAAATGATGAAAAGTGTACCAGATCCTGTGTACTAATAGATACGTCGATATATTTTCCAATATCTCGTTTAAAATGTTAGTCGATTTGCATTTCAGACATTTTCTCTCAGGGTATTTTACAACTAAACTAATGAAATGTTCTGTATCCGGGTTAAAATAATAACATTCAATATTTAACGAAAAACATATATATTTACGTATATTTACAATTTAAAAATAAAACAGTCGCTTAAGCTTCAGTTACACGTCGTTGCCTTGGACGTACTCTACATAATCTAACTTCTAATATGACCTATGTGTATTTTTGCACAAGCTACCTGCACAAGAAGACACTAGCGCCGTCAGTAACTATATACGGTTACCTATACACGAGAAATGAAGTTAATACGTACATAAAACTAATCAATTTAATGATGCCTGGTTTTTATCGTGAGCGTCTTTCCCTCCAACGAAATAGGACCAGCTGTCCAACGTCGGACGACGTTACCCTTCGCATATGAACTGCCGGATAAAGTCACCCAGGGGGCGGGTCCTCTGATCCGATAGAGGGGGTGATAATTTACCGGGTGCGGAGCAATAATCGGGGCAGTTTCAATGACTGGGGTAATTATTGGCGTGTGGACCAAGGGGGCGATTGGTGCGAGAGGGGCGATTTCCGCCACCGGGGCGACGTGGGATACCGGTGCGATTGGAACATGCTCGACGTGAGCTATCGGTGCGATAGGAGCGATTGGCGCAATCGGAGCGGCGATTGACAGCGAATGCACATTGGGACCGGTTTTTTTGACGACCGCGTTGAATCCGGTCAGGGGGTCGGCGCTGTACTCGACGTGACGCACGTTTCCGTCGGGTTCGACTAAGGAGTAGGCCCCTCGAACGTGGTCCCCGTCGCGATGCTCCCACTGCGCCTTGTTGTCTCCCGTTGAAGGGTCGTTGACCGCATAGTTGAAACTGTAGCTCGGATCCGACTGAAGAATTGAAAAATACGTTTATCCTTTCATTAAAATTAAACCAAACCTTCTCGTCGCGGTTACAACGGACCGGTTAAAAAATACGTTCATTATGTTAGCAAATAAAACAGAAATTAACACTTACGATTCTGTCAACAGTCGTAATTGGTATCAGGGATAATGTCGCCGGCGGGTTCGCCAACATGGCTGCAGCTGACACCAAAAGGCAGGCAATCTGGAATATATTGTTTCAGTTTTGTAAACTCGTTACATCGTCAAAGATCAATGAATGACTAACTGAAATAGCCTCTTGGGCTACCAGTGAATAGGTCTGGAAAAAACAAAAAATAAAATTAATGACATCATATGTTTTAGGGGATGACCGATATTCGTATTGAACATAAAAAGTACGGTTCAGTCTTTATTTTCATAAATGTTAATAAATGCCCAGTTTTCTAACTATGCTATCTTACATGTGGATCACGTTTGAAATTTTAATTTTATTGTCGAAAAAGCTGTTTCCATATTTGTAAATGAACTTCGTACCATAACGTTAGTTTTCATGTTGCTATTGTAGTTAGTATTCCAGCGAGCGAAACGAAGTGTACTGATGCACCAAATATTCGCCGATTCGATTTTATACAACACTAATTATTCGGCCCGGCCGTCATAGTGTCGCGCATCCGAATTTCACGCCCGATTAATTCATTTTTTTTCGTTTTTTTTCTTCCACTACAATTTTGAACTGAACTCAATATAACATGTTTGATACCTGTTGTGTGAACCTAAATTGTAATGATTTAGGAATTAATATGCACGGATGATTCGTACGAAACTAGGACCCGTGTTAATATGAGAAACTTGTTGGATTAGTCCAATTATAAAGTTGAAATAAACTTATTATAGTTGATTTTTTTAGCACAAAACTATTGTGACACTTTGATTATTCGACTTGATTTTTTTACGATTAGGAGTTAATGCCTCCATATTCGTTATGCATCAGCACTGACCGCTGCAAGAATCGAGTTTATCGTCTTTTTTGTATGGGAGACCTGTGGAAAATCAAGTAGCGCTCTCGACTCAAATCTTCTTCTTCTTCTTCTTCTTCTTCTTCTTCTTTGTCGTTTCCTCATTACTGAGGGTCGCGACCACCTTGGTCCAGTTTTTGCACCAGCCTCCTCCAATGTTGCCTGCATTCGGCCTGCTTAATGGCGCCCGGGTCGCTGGTGTTTGTGGCCTCCTTGACAATGTCCGTCCACCTGGTTGGGAATATTCCTCGACTTCTCTTTCCTTCCACTTGACCTACAACTATTAATTTTTCCAAGTTCTCAGGATTTTGTCGGGCAAAGAAAACTCAAATCTACATGAAACTTATTGTTTAAGAAAATAATAGTTCTTTATTACGAATTTACTCTGTCAGTTAATTTCTGGTCTAGTCTATTCAGTCTGAAATTTCGGCTGTCAGTTACTATTTTTAATACTCCTCCAAATATCTTACTGTTAGTTTTACAATTTATTTAAAATGTGGTTTTGAAAATTCCAAAATACCCTAATTATATTGGTGGGAGAGAAAAATACTATTGTAATTGAAAAATTCAGGGGTCGGTTTAGCCCAATAACCCTGATATGCGTTTTTTGGAAATCTTTGCTTAATGCCTAAAAGATTTAAACTCAAATGCGTGCTTGAATGCTCATTCAGTCATTTGAACCTGAAACCTGATTAAAATTGTGTAGAAGGATATTACGTCACGTTGCGATAGATCACAACAATAACTAACATTACAGCTTAATAATGACCTAATACAGCTTCGGTGAGTTTGGGATAATAAAAGTGACTGATGATATGACATTCGCCAGACGTCTCAATCGGGCCAACGACATTTTTAAGATACGTCTACAACATATATACAAGTTGCGAAAAATAACATTCGACTTTAACCCCACAGACACAGCCCACTGAGTTTCTCGCCGGATCTTCTCAGTGGGTCGCGTTTCCGATCCGGTGGTAGATTCCGCAAAGCACGACTTACTAGGGTTCGTGATAGCAACGTCATCAGGTTTGAGCCCCGTGAGCTCACCTACATGTTAGGGTGAAGCTGAAATTAGGTAGGAAAAAAAAATAGCGTTCGGACTCCATACATCAGCCCGACGAGTTTCTCGCCGGGTCATCTCAGCAGGTCGCGATTCTGATCTGGTAGTAGATGCATTCGCGAAGCAGCTGCCCTCGAGTTGTTAGGTCTCTTTCGGAGCCTCCTGGCTGAGCCCGTGCTCGCCCACTGTCCTGGTGAAACTGGAAAGGCCTCCGTGCCACCTGTAATCCTTCATTCATGAAAACAAAACATTCGGACTGCCGGTTTACTAAGCGATTTCACGCGCTCGGTGGAAGATCTTCCCTTTGTTGATTCTTCCAAAAGACCTTCCCATTATTTTCTGCTATCTTCCGAAGAAGAAGTAAACATTTTTATTATACTTTTTTGAAAAAAGGGATTTTGTTAACCACGTGCTTGCTACTAAAGTAGTTAATAAATAAATAAACATTTGTAATTATGTTATTATTTATACTTTATTTCGCAATGACCACGAATGACGCCAGAGACTGATGTTGGCCACCGCGACCACGAGCTGGAGCACCAGCTCTTCGCATAGCATTACACGTACATAATTACACGTATTAGTATATTAATTACAATTATTGTTATTATTTGTCGATATTATTAAATAAATAAAATTCATTTGAATTTAGAATTTATTGCCAATCATACAAAACATTACATTTCAAAGGGTCAGCATTCTAAAAAGGCTAATTCATAAATAGGTAGATAAATACCATTTACTGTGTGTAAACACTTGTACAATTTAGTATCTCCTTTATTTCATAGATTTTACAATTTCCGATACTCTGAATACTATTAAGTTTGTTTAAGTGACGTTTGATTAACGAATATGATGATTATAAATAATTATTTGAAAACGATATTACGAATATGTAAGTAAAATCGATATGACGAATGTGTATCTAATATCGATATTACATATCAAGACTAGTTACATAATTATACCCTAAAGGAATTATCATTTACCTATCCGTTGGGTAATTTTAAAGCTCTATCGAAATCTCTGTTATTAAACACTAAATAGCAGAGTTTTAATACTCATCATCTGCCCCTCCCTGTCCGTTTGATGATCAAAGTTTTACCGCTTAGTGGAATAGGTCCCGTTATCCATTTGTACAATTTGCCATCGACGTATTTCTTTCTGAGTATAGTGGCATAGGCTCTTGATGGTGCCAGAGGTATCGGAAGCAACGGAGCAGTAATTGGTACCCATCCTCCGTATGAATGCGTTTTGGGATCCCAAGGAAAACTCCAATCACCAACGGATGTGGCTTTAGGAATGCCTACAACTGATGCCGTACCGAATCCGTAATGAATTGGGCCAACGATTGGAGCCAACGGTGTAGCGATTTTTGGTGTAAGTGGTGCTGGGTGAACGCTTGGGCCAATATTCTTGACAATCGCGTTGAAACCGCTGACGTCATCGGCTGTGTAATCGACTACTCGCACGCTCCCATCGGGTTCAACTAGGGAGTATGACCCTTTGACAACCCCACCATTTCTTTCTTCCCATTGGGCCTTTTTGTCCCTGGTCTGGGGATCGTTGACAGCATAGTTGAAAGCGTAACGGGAATTATCCTGGAAATACAAATTTAATCATTGAATATGTCACGAGAAGTTTCGATTTTCCTGGTGTTAAGTGGTTACTGGAGTCCATAGACATCTACAAAATAGTTACAATAGCTAGAAATGGAGATACAAGATACTCACAACAGCTTCAACTACAGGAGCATTGTGAATTATAATTCCTGTCGCCAGTGTGGCCATATGAAGCACCTAAAAAGTTTTTCAGTAATATTATAAGCAATATAAGTAACAAAGATTGTGTGAGAAATATTAATGTAATTCTTTTGAATGTACGGTTTTTTTATGCTTTTTGCAATGCACCCATTATAATAATGCAATTGTGATCTGATGTGTCGAACCATAACACCGGTTTTTTTTTGCCCGTGTAAATAGACGAGCGAACATCCCACTTCATGGTAAGTGGTTACCGTCGCTCATGGACGTCAGCAATGCCAGGGACAGAGCCAAGCCGCTCCCTACCATAATTTTGTTAATGCCATCAAATAATTTCAAGAACATAATGAACATGAGACACTAAAAATAATGTCAGAAATGTCACAATCGAATTATTACCGTCAATGCAACTAGTCGATTCATTTCGTCAGCTTAATGTTTGTCTATAGAATGAGCTAATTACGCTTTAAATACTTACTTTTATAAGCGTTCGGTTACTTGATATAGTACACTGCAAACCTGTACCGCTCGTTTGACACTAGCTCTGTCTGTGCGTTAATAGTTTTCCAATGAATATGCATTATCGAAAAGTGCATATCTAATTCAAACTACTTTCACGTTTCAATCTCGTATTTATAATTTCCATTACATTATTATTTTGCGTCACGTTATTAGGCCGCAACCACGAAAATTGTAAACTATTGGAAATACAGTAAAAATACTTTTAATAGTCTTTAATTGTCAAGTTGTTTCGGGTCTACGCTCTTGAGCTTGTCTATCGGCTAATACTATAACCATCATCATCATACTCTTGGCTGAGCAGTCGTGGACATGTGGAATCCTTGCTTATTATAGCCTTGACAGATGTTCTCCATAATTCGCGAAAGCTATTACCACAATCATTAAAAAAAACGACCAGTAAAAAGGAACTTGTTTGAAACCTTATTATCAATCAGCTTTATTAGTGCTTTTAACCTAAGAATTAAAGTACTAAATTAAAGTATAAAAGTAACACAGTCTACAAAATTATTTGTCGTTAGCACAAAATTGCATGGCGTAGGTAAATGTATATGTAACAATGGACAGCCGCAAAGTTTTAAAGACATCAGAATGATTAGTGCTTCAGACCGAGCAGGCTGTAGTTTGGTCCCAATGAAGGATAAGCTCCCTTTGTTAAGAGTCCGTGTCCAAGGTGGTCCAAATAGTTGTTCGGTCCCAATGGAGCTTTGAACAGTCCATCATTCCATAAACCCAGCGAGCCGTAGTCACCTAAGTTCAACGGGGTTTTCAGACCTGGCAGAGCTGCAGGATAAATCGGTGCCGATAATATGGGACCAGATTTGATTATTGGCGTTGGATAAGCAGCAGAGGGCCAAATTGGAGCTGGAGCATACGGCAACGGTGCTTTGTAAGAAACTGGTAGAATTGGTGCCGGTATTACAGCTGGTGCGTGATCCTTGTATAATGACGCAGTTGACACTGCTCCTCCGTACAACGGACCGCTGATGAGGGGAGCGGCAGCGAGACCTCCGAGCTTTGCCACTGGTCCTACTATAGGAGAGATCGGTGCTGCGTGGACTGTAGGTGGATGCAGATTTGGTCCGATGCGTTTTACGACAGCATTAAAACCAGACTTAGCATCAGCATAGTACTCTACTATTCGTATGCTTCCATCGGGTTCTACCAAAGAATACGCTCCTAAAAATGAATGAGGTAGATGAATTATTCATTTAAAATAATAATTAACAATTTTGCAAATGCTACCTTTGTTCATATCATGTCTGATTGATACCTTTAACAACGTCTCCGTCCCTATTCTCCCATTGCGCTTTCTTGTCTCCAGTGTGGGGATCGTTCACTGAGTATTCGAAGGCATATCGGGGATACGCCTGAAATAAAATGGAATGGAATAAAATAGAAAATCATTTGTATCATCCTAATTCCAGCTAAGGATTAAATGCTTCAGTTCACTCACGTAATAGTCAACGGATGCGTGACGCGGGGCATACACAAGACCCCCCCACGAATCGTCGGCCTTAGCCAACGCCGTTACAGCCAGAAGACAAGACACCTGAAACATTACATTAAACACCTCAATGAAGGGTCATTACGAATCGATTGAATCTCATGGCGGCGACACTGACCGCGACAACGAAGCTCATTTTATCGGAGACGCACCGACCAGCTTGCAATAGAAACGTACTGATTAGCTTCGGATAATTTGAGGCGTTTTATAGATCGGGCAGGACCTTCGAGTCCTGACGTCTTAACGGATACGGAACGTTCCGTGCGTGCGGTGAACAACGAAAACGAGGGTTGCATCAGGCGTCCTTCGACCGGTGAAAACGTGCGTTAATATGTAATTGGGTCTTCGCACGCAGGACGTCTGCCGAACTCTTCATAAAATATTAGCATACAAAGAATGATGGCATGGAGGATAATAGTTCACTAGTCCGGAATCTTCTAGTCCAGAGTTTCCTAAGTCTTAATTCGAATATTGACCTCAACTTTGGCCAAAACTAATTAAGCTAGGACACGTAATGTTAATTGTCTTCGGTGTTATAATTGACATAATGTGTGTCTGTGTGTGTTTGGTCAAGCGTGTCCCGGTCGAGTTAAAATGGCGTGTGACGATTTGCTCCAATTACGCCGGCGCATAATGTGTGCTCAGAGCGAACCGGTGTCGAACACGCAAACCTCGGATACCGGTAAAATGAGATTGTATAATGTGATTAATTCGACAAGCAGGCCTTTTGATGAAACTCCTCCGTTGAGAATATCATTGTGCTTAGTGCGAGAGAACAGCGGCCCTACGTTTGCCGCTAGGGGCGCTGTTCCAACTCCATACAAATTTGAATTAACGTTTATGCCTTTTTTTTATTGCTTAGATGGGCGGACGAGCTCACAGCCCACCTAGTGTTAAGTGGTTACTGGAGCCCATAGACATCTACAACGTAAATGCGCCACCCACCTTGAGATATAGGTTCTAAGGTCTCAGTATAGTTACAGTGGCTGCCCCGCCCTTCAAACCGAAACGCATTACTGCTTTACGGCAGAAATAGGCAGGGTGGTGGTACCTACCCGTGCGGACTCACAAAAGGTCCTACCACCAGTGAATGCGATCGGGAAGTTAAAAAACTCTAAGTTAACTAAGCACACTGTTGTTTGGTCTTAGGTCGATCAATGGTATACTATATGACATATCCTTCTTCAAACGAGGCTTGTGGAGAGTACTTAACGGTAGGTAACGGCGGCTTGGCTCCGCTCCTGGCATTGCTGAAGTCCATGGGCGACGGTAGCCACTCACCATCAGGTGGGCCGTATGCTTGTCTGCCTACGCGGGTAATAAAAAAAAACTTCATCATCATCATCATCATCATCATCAACTCTTCTATGTAACATAACGTGAAAACGATAGCAGTTAAAGTGTTCATTCTAATATTAAAATAGTATTTTCTACGTATGGTATTTAGATATACTCAGGATCATGGCTTCGCTACGAGTACAATCTAATGACTTTATTTAACACAGAATTAAAATTGTTCAATTCGTCCACCGGAATACGATTGTTCCGGTACAGTTTTTTTTATTTTTATTAAAACGCACATCCGTGATACATTAATTATGCTGTACTTTGATTACTTTTAAATGATATGTCTGATAAAAGAATCGTTATAATCTACGTCCACCGCTGTCCAGCCTTTCATCCATCGATGTATGTGACATTAAAAAAATAAAATAAAAATAAATTATCAACGTCATATTTTTTCTACGTTAAAATTTTTTTTTTTTATTATGCTATTAACCTGGGAGGTTAGGCCAGCGTAACCGAATGATTATGTGATCTTATGGGGCTCTAACCTGACGCACCTACGTTAACGACCTACGTTCAGCGTTTTATATAATTATAAGATGGGTGGCGCATTTACGTTGTATATGTCCATGGGCTCCAGTAACCAACCAACACCAGGTGGGCTGTGAGCTCGTCCACCCATCTACACAATAATAATAAAAATTAAATATTATAAAGCTTATTTCAAAATAACCTCTGCAAGAAAACGAAACACTGATTTTTTAACATGACTCACACCGATGTGTTGATTAGACGAATATTGTATGTAATATTATAGTAGAATTATTTTGTCCGTGCAGTTTGAGTCATAAAAAATCGTGAAGCGAGTATTTCGCTCTCTCTTCCACTCACGAGCCTTATGGACGGGCATATAAGCTGTGTCCGCGACTTCATCCACGTGGAATTTAACAAAACATTACTTTGTTTTATAATAGTTTTAGATTTTTTTTAAAATAAAAGTAGCCTTCGCTAGTCCTTATTTCATTAGCGATCTGCCGGGTAACGTTCCTTCAAAATTAGTTCAGCCGCACCAGAGACTAGCCGGAACAATCCTCTTTTGTTATAATATGTAGCGTACATTCATACGCACGTTTTTTTTTTATTTTTTATTGCTTAGATGGATGGACGAGCTCACAGCCCACCTGATGTTAAGTGGTTTACTGGAGCCCATAGACATCTACAACGTAAATGCGCCACCCACCTCGAGATATAAGTTCTAAGATCTCAGGTATAGTTACAACGGCTACCCCACCCTTCGAACCGAAACGCATTACTGCTTCACGGCGGAAATAAGTACTAAAAAGCGGCTATTTTTATATTACAAACAAACACTTCAATTTATTTGTGACATTTAAGGGTGTTCATAACGATGGTGAAGAAGAAACCACGCATGACAGTTATTTTTATTCGTTTTATTTAATTACTTGCAAAATACATTATTTAACAAATGCTGACGCGTGTCACTTGGCTGGTCGACGAATACGAATCTCAAGCCGCGGGCGCATCCTCCTCCCGCTGCCTCCCCCCGTCCCCTCTCTCGCCCTGAACGTAGGTAACAAAGGGTTTTCGACAATCACAAAGGGTGTAGGGTTTTTTTTCCTACCTAAGCTGGTAGCCTTGAGAGGCTATTTCAGCGTAACCTTAACTAGTAGTTGAGCTCACGGGCCTTAAACCGGAGTGGTGCTAACACTGGCCCTAGCAAGAGCCGTGCTTCGCAGAATCTACCATCGGATCGGAAACGCGACCCACTGAGAAAATCCGGCGAGAAACTCAGTGGGCTGTGTCTATAGGTTAATTCGCTCGAGGACGGTAAAGAACACTTAGATACCATACTCGAACCCGGTCTTTGTTAGAGCGTTGGTTTAGACTTTTACCCGGTTACCCGACACGCAGAATTTGTAAGCAGGCGTACAGCTGTCTGCCGGCAACGGTGCTGGCTTCTTGCGTGGAGAGCGTCTGGTCGTGCGACAGCGGCGCGTCGGCAACGCAACTGTCGCGGGCCTTGTGGCTGTGGTGCGGCAGTCTCGGAGCCAGGGTGTGGCTGCCGCTGCTGCCCCGCGACGCGACGCGGCACCCGGACTCCGGAAGGCACACGTTCATGGCGAAGCGGATCATGCTGCCGTTCCATTTGAATATATATCCTCTCAGTAAGTGTTTCAGGTTAAGCTTTTTGTTGCCAGGTTGGTGTTGGGTAGATGGGTGAATGAACTCACAGCCCATCCGGTTTTATTCGGTTACTGGAGCCCATATGTACAACGCAAATGCCGCCACCCACCTTGAGATATGAGTTCTAAGGTCTCAGTATAGTTACAATGGCTGCCCCGCCCTTCAAACCGAAACGCATTACTGCTTCACGGCAGAAATAGGCAGGGCGGTGGTACCTACCCGTGCGGACTCACAAGAGATCCTACCACCAGTATTTACGCAAATTATAATTTAGCGGGTTTGATTTTTATTACACGATGTTATTCCTTCACCGTGGAAGTCAATAGTGAACGTTTATCAAGTACGTATTTCATTAGAAAAATTGTTACCCTGCCTGCGGGATTCGAACACCGGTGCATCGCTAGATACGAATGCACCGGACGTCTTATCCTTTAAGCCGCAACGACTTTTCGAGCTTTATTTTATTTGGTCAGTAGCTAAATGTTACTATGAGAGGCGTGGTCAGCTCGCCGATAGTAAATTTCTAGTCTTCAGTTGTTCCAATTTTTCATGGAATCATAATCATGTCTTGCAGTGTGTCATGTGTGCTATTTAATGTGGCATCACTGTTGTTTCCAGCTATACTGTTTGATGATGCGATCCTATTGGGTGCAGAGAACGACACTACACTGTACGCATCGGATTCGAATTCTGTATTCTCCCTGCCGTTTTGCGTGGTCAACAGGACTGTGAGTCAAATTCTATATTCTAGAAGGTTCCACAGATGGCGCAACGTGATTTATCATTGAAACCTAAGATCAAATACGTCGGGAAGACAACATTTCAACAACAAACGGCCGTTTGGTGTAGTGGCAAGTGACATGGTCATTATACAAGGGGGTCGCGGGTTCGAATCCCGCCAAGGGAGGATATTTGTATGATAAATATAAAATGTCTTTTCCAGGGTTATGGATGTATATTAAATATATGTGTGTTTAACAAAAATCTTACATTTATTTCCGTTATCCGGTACCTGTAACACAAGTTCTTTACGAACTTAGCACGGGACCAGTTAACGTGGCGTGATTGTTAGTAAAATATTTATTATATATATATGTATATATTATATAGTTAATTTCTGCCCCTCGAAATGGATTGTAGCACAAACCCGCATGGCTTTAGGACACATGTCCTGTTTGTAGTCTGGTACAGGAGAATGGCCCACAGCTTGGTATACTACGTTTTATTGATTGAAATGGAGAATGGCACCTCTTGACTGTCAACTCCAGACCTATATGGGATGTTTTCAACGGTGCAGAAAACAAATCTTTATGTTTAATGCACATACGAGTGAACGAACTCGAGGACAATCTGATTAACTGGTTACCGGATTTCTTAGGCATGGCGATGTGAAATTCGCGACCCACCTTGAGGCATGAAGTCGTAGTCTCAATTGTGTAATATAACGCTTGTCCCGTCCTTCAAACCGAAACGCAAGACTAATCTGTGGCAAAAATAGGTGAGACAGACATACTGTACTGGGTCACAATATATGCCCTACCATCACTAATTACCTACCTACCTATGTTACTTTTTCAGAGCCAAGTCTACCTTCATCAAATTCTAAGGCAGCTGTTAAGAAGGAACCTTGGCTACCACGCCTGGGAGATAGCTCGGTCCTGCTCTCAGCTGGCTTACTTCCCGCACTCCTTAGAGCTACTCCTCCACGAGGTCCTGGAAGAGGAGGCGACCAGTAAAGAACCGATACCCGACGCTCAGCTGCCCAGCATCATAGAGTTTGTGCAGGAGTTTCCTGTCTATTTAGAAGTAATTTGGAACTTTATTATGTCTTGAAAATTAGTAATATATAGTTTAGCTTAATATTAATTTACTACCGTGAGTGTTTGGTCTGTTTGTTTGTGCTTTTGTCTCTATCTGCAAAACGCATGAACCAATTTTATAGTTTTTTTTATTATACAAATTATCTTGAGCTAACATACGCAATTTTCGTAATGTCTGCCACTGATGTGTGTGTAACGTGAAGTGTGTTCACGAGTGCTCACGTCTGCTCTCGTCTCTGACAAGGAGCTAAATAAGAATGTTTAAATATAGCCCTTATAGCACTGCAACACACGGTTGTCTCATGACAGAGAACGCAGAGTATTGGTAGTGATATTGGCGAGGTCAGAACACATTGTCACCGTCGTGATTATTCATTCGTTCTCTTTCTAGACAGTAGTACAGTGCGCGCGGAAGACAGAGATAGCGCTATGGGCATATTTGTTTTCGGCAGCAGGGAAACCCAAGGAGCTGTTCCAGCAATGTCTGCAGAGGAAAATGTTGGACACCGCCGCCTCCTATCTTATAATATTACAAGTAAGTGTTTATTCAATTCTGAGATTGACCTTTGTAATTTTTTTCTGAAGTATCGTCCATTGCCTCGTCATGTACTCCCCCATTTTTTTTAAATATTTGAACTAAAGCTCAAATCGTAACAGTAACGAATAGACATTCACATGCAAAGTCAATAACAAATTTGTCATTGTCGTAATTAGTATGTAAAATAACCCGCAATGAAAGCGTACAAAAGTTGATGATCACGTATGGTCAACCTGCCCCTTAGACACGACCGCGTTCATTGCTGGTCGACTGATGTTCATTCCTAATGCTCAGTCCAGATTCGGCCTTGTCGTCTGCTTTGTCCTTGGGATCTCAAATCCACTAGTAGGGGTCATACCAGATTCATCGGGCGAGTAGGTGAGCTCACGGGGCTCTGGCACCTGGAGAATTTGCTAACACTGGCCCTAGCAAGAGTAGTGCTTCGCAGAATCTACCACCGGATTGGAAACGCGACCCGCTGTGAGGATCCGGCGAGAAACTCGGTGGGCTGTGTCTGAGGGTTAATTTACTCGTCGAGCTCTTCGTCGCAAGCGACGGGTTCGGCGAGAACGATGACCGGTGCTTGAGGTACCTAAAAGCACCGTTAATGGATCGGAAGAATCCGAAATTACGTGTTTGGGGCGACGTCGACTGCTTTCCAATCTGTTCGCAGAATCGGGAATGTAGCTACCGGCGGCCACGATGAGAGGGTCCTCGTGTCGTGCCGCTTTATCGAAGTGACAGCAATGTATGCCTCATTAATGAATTTGTTAATCACTAAAATGTAAAATAAATTGTTTAGAATCTAGAGAGTTCGACAGTGAGCAGACAACTGGCCACGCAGCTGTTGGACACCGCCCTGCAGCAGGAGAGGTGGGACCTCGCCAGAGATCTAGTCAGATTCCTCCGTGCCATAGGTTAGTTTTAGATTTATAATGAAACCCCCGCACTCGAAATTAGAGTTTCGGTCAACCGTTTAAGATTCAATGTCCTTAAAAACTGGTACATGTTTGATTTGTTCTACATACATGTTTTCAAAACAAGTATGTACGTTTTAGTCTGTGGCAGTTATAGACAGGACATCAGCAACATTGAGGTCAGTGGTACCTGAAATATGATACACATGATTTTTTTTTATGCTTAGATGGGTGGACGAGCTCACAGCCCACCTGGTGTTAAATGATTACCAGAGCCCATAGACATCTACCCCGTAAATTACGTCACCTATTTTGAGATATTAAGCGTATTAGCGGAGAGAGTATTAAGCGGTAGGCAGCGGCTTGGCTCTGCCCCTGGAGTTGCTAAGTCCATCGGAGACTGTAACCACTCACCATCAGGTGGGCCCTGTGCTCGTCTGCCTACAAGAGCAACAAAAAAAAAGATGAGTTCTAGGGTTCAGTGTTACAGTACAACGGCTGCCCCGCTCTTCAAACCGAAACGCATTACTGCTTCACGGCAAAAATAGGCAGGGTGGTGGTACCTACCCGTGCGGACTCGTAAGAGGTCCTACCAACAGTAAATCTGTATTAATATTAATTTTAACAACAAAATCCTTGCCCGGCCGCAGATCCCAACGATGTGGAGTCGCCCCGCAACTCCGTGAACGTGCAAGCCAAGTACGGGCAGGTCGCGCAGTCGCAGGCCGTCAGCCCCAACGCCGAGGACCTCTCCGTCATACTGGGGACCATGCAGGCAAATATACTCACTTCCCTTATACATAACAAATCTTTTTTTTTTATTGCCCTGTAGGCAGACAGGCATACGGCCCACCTGATGGTGAGTGGTTACTGTCGCCCATGGACTTCAGCAATGCCAGGGGCAGAGCCAAGCCGCTGCCTACCGCTTAATACTCTCCACAAGCCTCGTTTGAAGAAGGACATGTCATAGCGCCGGATGGTACGTGGCAAAAAAGATCTCTGGAAACGCACTGTGGATGACCGCAGTGGCTCCAGGTAGTACGGATGAACTCTACTCCGGTGGCGGGCGGTGCGATGGTAAAAACAAATCAATATAATCAAAAAAATGTTATTCATCATAAATGAAAGTACACATTTGTTGAACATCAAAAAGAACTACCGCCAATTCACAAAAACTAGCCTCCGTCCTGAGAAGAACTGGCAAGAAACTTAGCGGGCATGTCTTTTTTTTAAATATACAGGATATTTAGTCAGGATTTGAGGTTTTCCACGTGACATGCGTTGCGGCGTGAAACCAAAACCGGTGTATAAGCCTTATACACCTTACGATGCTAACGTCGTCCCATCAGCGAAGACGATCAGATCAGTTCCGGATCCATCTGAAGTAAAGCGGCTAAGGCTCCCATTGACATCACTGCGAGGCTAGTGCAGCCTACCTTGAGATATTGTTTAGAGATCTTAATAGCATTAGTATTAACAACTGCCCAACGTTTACCACTAGAGTGTACGTTGGTTAGCATGTATGCCATTTAACGGCCGTCTGGTGTAGTGGTAAGTGACATGGTCACTACACAAGGGGGTCGCGGGTTCGAATCCCGCCAAGGGAAGATATTTGTATGATAAATATAAAAAATGTATTTTCCAGGGTTATGGATGTATATTAAGTATATGTATGTGTATAATAAAAATCTTACATTTATTTCCGTTATCTGGTACCTGTAACACAAGTTCTTTACGAACTTAGCACGGGACTAGTTAACGCGGCGTGATTGTTAGTAAAATATTTATTATTTATTTATTTACTGCGCGTGTCAGCATGGAAGTACTCGCTCCTGACTAATAAATACCTGGTGTCGTGCACAGCTGGCAGGCGGGCGGGGCCGCAGCTTCAGTACGACGGTGTCGCCCCGGGAGCCCTCGCCCCCCGCGCCCGCCGCGCCCGCGCCCCCGCCGCCGCCCCCCGCGCGCGCCACCGCCGCCGTCAAGCGGAAGAAGTCCGTGCCCGCGAGGAGTGAGAGGTACGCCTCATTGCACGGGTAGCAAAGCTGGCTAGTCTATATCTATCCTGGGTGAACTGCATGTCGTTTTTTTTAAAATAATAAATCGATGAAAATTACTAGTGGTAGGACCTCTTGTGAGTCCGCGCGGGTAAGTACCACCACTTTACCTATTTCTGCCGTGAAACAGTAATACGTTTCGGTGTGAAGGTTAATTTTTTTTTGTCCTACCTAGGTGAGAGCCTTGAGAGGCTATTTCAGGGTAACTTTAACTAGTAGGTGAGCTCACGGGACTCAAACCTGACGAGTTTGAAGGTTGGGGCAGCCGTTGAAACTATACTGAGACCTTAGAACTTATATCTCAAGGTGAATGGCGCATTTACGTTGTGTATGTCTATGGGCTTCAGTAACCACTTAACACCAGGTGGGCTGTGAGCTCGTCCACCCATCTAACCAATAAAAAAAATGTGGGTAGTAAGTAAAAAAAATGCTTTTCATCATCAGGGAATCGTACAACGGTACCGCCGAAGAATTCTTCATAGACATGATGATACAGAGGCACGCGCGACAGCTGCTCATCCGGGGGAGGCTGGCGTCGCTGGGCAGGCTGGCGGCGTCGCTGGACCTGCCGCTGGTGGGCTGGCTGGCGGCGGAGAGGGAGCGCGCGGCCCGGATGGACTGCGCCGTGCTGTGCCTGCGCAGGGTGCACAAGGACTTCTCGTGGCCCTACCCCGTGCGGGATGACGACGAGCCCAGCAGGAAGCTCAGCTTGTTGCCCGGTACGTACTGGCTTGCTGCGGGCTCGGTAGGAACATCGCAACCACGGATCCCATCCAGCATCTGTCGTGGGGAGTTAGTTATCTATTGTATTATATAAACATGTAACGGTAAAAGTTGGATTTTCTATAAAAGGGTATTTTGGTTAGTTTTTTTTAACTATTGTTTATTTTTCATTTTTTAGTTGAATTTAAATTTTTTCAATTTTTTTTTAATATTGAATTGTCATCGGTCCTTAATAAGTCTACCAAATTTCGAGTTAATCCAACGTTTTGAAGGGGGTCAAAATCATGTACAAAGATTCCGTTACAAACATACATACAGTACGACCGACGTAACTTGGCGAGTCCGAACTTCGCGCAGAAGGCTGCGCACAAACGTTTTTAGGAACCAAATGGTGGTATGAGCAACGTGCGCGGGGCGGAGGTCTAGGCTAGGAATTGACTCTATGTAAACACAATCGTCCCTTTATTCAATCAAATATCGCAATCGATTTTTATCGGTTTGGAATTTATTGATTTTTGTTTATATGAGATAATAAATGAAATAGATTTACAAACATTTTGAATGTTGTCGTTAGTAAATGAGACTTCATCTTTAATAAAAAAAAAAAAACTAATAACACTTTATTTTCTTGGTTGAGAGACATGATTTAGTTGAATATCAGTTATTTATCAACAACTACTACAATAGGGACTGTTCGTGAATATTTTAAACCTCCTATAAAATGGAATATAAATATATATTTTTATATAAATTTTAATCAATTTGAAAAAAAATCGATTAAACAACATCCTCAAACACGCATATTGGACATCCCTTTTCTTGACATCGTATAAATTCGGTAATTCTCGGTATGCGGTAATGTGTCTCACTCACACGCTAGCATTAGTGTCGTGTTCGTGTCGCTATCTCTGTCTTGAGTACGGGCGGCTACAAAAGTTTTCATTGATTTGTTATTATTATACTGTTTTTGTTTAGTGCTCAGTTTTTTGTTTAGTTTTAAGATTGTTTGTGTTTAAATTTGTTATAGTATTAAGTGTCCCTTGGCATTTATACTATTCGTTAACAAAGATGCCACCAAAGCATAATAGTGTTTTAAATCGACGGCCGACAAACATAATTTTTGATTTTTTTTTTTAAAAAAGGAAACGAAGAAGGCGTAGAAGATGTTGACAGTTTTATTTAGAGTTGCTAACAATCTGGTGTATCGCAACGCACAGTACAGCGGATCGCAACTGAAGGCAGTGTTCGGGCTTACTTTCGAATTAATTTAATTACGTTATTTTTACCGCTTTCTGTCTTAATTTATTATTCTTTTATTGCCTCTCTTTAATTTATTACGTTATTTTTATAGCTTTCTCTCTCATAGTGTTTTGATATTCATTTTATTTGTACTTGGTCCCTGTAGATGGAAATTTTAATTCGTATTTTGATTTAAAAAAATGAAAGCTAATAACACTTTTTTTTACGAGTGTACATGCGCGAAAGTTCACCTGCGGCTATATTCAGACTCGCCAAGTTACGTCGGTCGTATTGTACATACGTCTGAAGCTAATAAAAGCGTATTAATAATAGAGATGAAACGGATATCCGGATACCGGATAGTAAATCAGTATCCGGCCGGATTTCGGATAGTAAAATTTAAGAAAATCTCGTGGTTATACAAAAGGCAAATAATGCCACAATGGGTTATAGACAACTTTTATTTTTATAATCGCACGTCAAAAGTGATTGTTTTATTAATTAGTTTGTTTGATACTCAAAATTAACAAGTGGCAAATTGTGGTGAATGAATACCAAATCGTCGTCGCCATCTCTGTTACGTGCGACAACACCCGAACGCGCACGAATATTTCCGTAAGAGCCGAATATTCGGCCTCGCAGCTCGCCGAATATTCGGTATCCGACACCCGGCTAAATTACTATCCGTTTCATCTCTAGTTAATAAACAATATTGTGTGTACGCAGTGGACTCGCACAGCCCGGCGCCGGACGCGGAGAGCGCGTGCGGGGACAGCGGGTACGTGAGCCTGCCGCTGCGCACGCAGCCGCCCGGGCCCGTCAGGTCTGTTCTCTATACCTATATATTAGTCGGTCGTGTGAATATCTGGCCTTATGTCAAGACACATGATGCACGTAGAGATTATTTCAAATTAATTTTGACACTCTGAATTTTAGTTGTTCAGCCAACCTTCAGTTAATAAAACTGAATCATTAACGATCAAGTTGATAGAAGGAATGTAAACGCGCAGCTCGGTGGGCGAGGGCAGCGTGGCGGAGGGCGGCGGCGTGTCGTGGGGCGACGCGCCCGAGCGCGAGGAGCGTCGTTACGCCGCGCTCATGGAGCGGCTGCACACGCACCAGGCGCGCAAGGGCGACCACGTGCCGCACGTGCAGCTAAGGTAACCCACCTCCTCACTACCTCTTGTGCAGAGTTTATTCTAGTCGATTACGATTGCCATTTCATGTACTTTTTTCCCCTACCTTTTTTTTATTGCCCTTGCAGGCAGACGAGCAAACGATCCACCTCATGGTGAGTGGGTACCGTCGCCCATGGACTTCAGAAATGCCAAGGGCAGAGCCAAGCCGCTGCCTACCGCTTAATACTCTCCACAAGCTTCGTTTGAAGAAGGACACGTCATAGCGCTCGGAAAACACCGTGGAGGGTGCTCTCATACTCTGTGATAAGGATGATACGGTCCATAAGCCAACTGGCAGTCTCGTTACGGTCGTCTCGTCGCACGGCAGGTACTTCCTGCAGCTGATGACGGAGGCGTGCTGCGTGGAGTGGGCGCTGGTGGTGGCGGTGGTGCTGCGGGACGCGCTGGCCGTGCTGCGGACCACCAACGCGGCGCGCTCCGCCGACGTCACCGTGGACGCCGTGCGCAGGCTGCGCCGCGCGCTGCACGACCTCTGCGCCTGGGCAGAGTCCGAGTGGTACGTATCCCGGGTCCTCTCAACGGACTCTCAGTCCGTTCACCGCACTGAGTAGTGGCTGGCGTACTTGCGTTGTAAATGTCTATGGGCTCCAGTAACCGCTTAACACCAGGTGGGCTGTGAGCTCGTACACCCATCGAAGCAATAAAAAAAAAATGTGTGTGCAAAGTCACACTCAAGAAATTAAGATGGCGCGTAACCGAAAAATGTTACACACGTTTCTTCCTCCCTTCGTGGATAAAGAAGTTTCACTTCAAAAAAAAAACAATAGTACATTGTGCACCAAGGGAGAAATGTCCAACTTTTCTCCCGCGGTGCACATACTATTTTTTCTCCTACCAGGCTGAAAGTTCGTGGAGTACCAAGCCGGGGGTAGGGGGCGGAGCCCCCCCTTACTCATAAAAAAAACAATTTAACTGTTTTTTAATTTTTAAATGAACTACTACTAATTGAATAAGAACTGTCTGATGAACTCATCTTTGTTTAATACGTCATTATTAAATTTTATTGCCTTTTGTTTATTTCACTTTTACACTAAACACAATATTACAAATTACCCAAGCACAACGATGGCGAAGAATTTTAGTTGCGTGAGAGCAGACGTAGACACTTGTCAGTACCCAGGGAGGAAAAGTTACACTTTCTTCCCTGTACAGCGGGACGAAAACCGAACTTTCGGCGTAGGTAGGAGAAAAATCGTAATTTTCAAAATTGTCGCGTTCCACAGTCAGGGCTACCGTCCCTTCATGTCGGCGATCAGCAACCAAATACCGTTCTTAACGTCGATCATCAACGCTCGCGAGCGCCGCACCTCGATGGTGAAGACCCGCGTCCGGACCCCCAGCACCGGCTCCCTCAACCAGGACCCGAAGCCGAAACCGCAGCCGGTCATTGAACCGAAACTGCCGCAACCTCAGAAGGTTCAGGAGGTGAAGCGGAAGGAGTCTTCGGTTGCGGCCGTCGAGGTGTCGGAGGTGGTGAGCAGGCCGCTGAGAACGAACGCGCCATCGCGGGACGAAGTATCCACCGGTTGTGCCATTACGTAGACAGGTAAGCTCCTCTGAAGTATAATATTTCACTCGTAGACAAATCGTCTTTTCGCATTACACAGTATACAATTTCTAAAAATATTCGAAATTGAGTTAATATGCGGAATCGTTTGGTATCACCAGTCATTTTTCTCATAAATACTGTCAAAAGAGCGTAGTTTTTTTTTTTTTTTTAGTTTACCTATGCTTTGACTACTATTAAAATAATTAATACATAATTTTATCTTACTTTAAAAGACAGATAATGTAACTGGCAAAAAATAAAAGTTGCAAAGATGATTAATATTAAAAATATCACATGTTAAACCTTTAAAACAATCTTCGGTAAAATTAGTAAGTTTTGAGATTATACAGTTTTAATACGAGAAGACGCAATAACGTCTATTGCGACCGTTCTCAAAGACGAAGAGGCAGAATTCATCCATAAGCACCAATTATCATGTTTATCACAAACGTACTCATAATTCACGAGCCCGCAACCTATCTCAAACAACGCCGGGCAGTCAATGACTCGGCAGAGTCGGAGCGCTGTACATGGCTCCTCACACGCGCTAAGTATTATCAAATGAATATTGTTCACGATAGGCAGCGGCTTGGTTCTGCCCCTGGCATTGCTGAAGTCCATGGGCGTCGGTAACCACTCCAACCAACCACCATCAGGTGGATCACTATGCTCGTCTGATTACAAGGGCAATAAAAAAAAACTTAGATTAAAGTACATTTTGTTTTCTTATTACCTTTTACAAGAAACGTTGTAAGATATTAAACAAGAAACAACAAACAAGCAAAGGCTGTTTCAGCTAATGGCAACAGCAATAGACCCTTATTGTAGCGTCGAACTCCCGTCACCCCCCTAGGTACATGGTGTTATGTGAGATGTAAACGTATCGACGGCTTATTTAGCCATTCGACAAACCTGGTGGTGCAGTTGCTTGCGCCCTTGAATATAGAACCGAGGGTCGTGAGTTCGATTCTATAATACGATAATTCCATTCTATATCAATGTATACATTTAAAAATATATATATATAAGTATGTATAACAGTCTGGTACATAACAGAAGGAATCCTAGTTTGGGGCTAGATGAGGGAGACTGGTCCTCTAATATTACATCTACAAGCTAATTTTCTACATATAAAATACATATTTCCCTATTTTAAAGAGTTTAATTAACTGTTATTTATTATAAGGTTAAGTGTAGGCCCCGCTAGGCTACTTTTTGTAAGTGCATGCAAAGAAAGTCGCAAGCATAGCTAGTCTAGCACGTAGGAATCCCAAGATTTGCTGGGCCAAGTCATCTTTCCACATGGAACTCTGTGGGTTAAAGATAGATAGATAGTTGTTAGGTTGTCTATCATCTAGTCGATAGACATAAAAGAAACAATACTAAATTGTGTTTAAGTAATTGGCAAATATAAAATGAATTAATAAGCAGAAGATTGTTTGTTGGTGAAGTTGTGTTTTTTATTAATTCCTCAGATACACGACTGACGTTTCCAGCAACACCAGCCTTCACAGTAGCATCCGTGGTTTTTGTTCGAAACATTGAACAACATTTAAATTATGAGCATAGATAGATCGTTTGTAGAATTAATTAATGGTGATTTTTATTTCTGTCGCATCTCTCAACTATTGATAATAAATGTCCTTTTTTTTCGGGATTCGTTCAAATTCTAAATCGCCAAGTCATTTTAGATCAAAGTCCCTAATGTCTAACGTCAATGTCAACCACGCAACTGTCAGCATGACAGTTGACATATACACACGTTCGCGTTTCTATCGGACACGGTAATTCCCAGAATGCAAATGGAAATATGGGATCCGTTGTCCCTATAACTGGTACATGGAGGTACTAAGGAAATTAACACAGAACTGAGACAATCGCGACCCGTATTAGTTGATGAAATATATATATTTCAGTGAGATCGATGAACAAAAAGTTGTGAGAGTTTACCGGATCACTACAATATTATAAACATTATTAATCAAAGTGTTCTTACAACCATTTACTCGTTTTACGAGCTCTCAATATTTCCGATTGTTCTTCTCTGTAATGGTGGATAGCCGTGAAATTTTAAACAATTATGTACGGTATGTTTGTATCCCGAAAAAAAATCTATTATTATTTCCCGTTGAAGTTAGACAGTATGGGCTTGGTCTAGAAGCATATATAAATTGAAAACAACTTAGATCACACTATAGATCGTTTTTATGCGTCGATACGCGCTCGACGGCATCTAGACATGTCGCAGGCGGCTACTACATGGAACTACAATGAAAAGTCATTGGCTCCGTAGAGAATTCGGAAACAGGCTGGTTCATTTCATAACCTTACTTAATGTGAAAATAGTACTTAACAAGGAAAAGCAATAAATGATTAATATTAAGGAGAATGTTTGCTCATGTTTGTATTTTTTTTTTTGCTCAGTGCATTATTAACACGTGTAATTTCAGCTGTTTTTTTTTTGTAAATATCTATCGTTTTCTATTAAGCTGAATACGTATTTAAATAAATACATGTGAATGCTTACCTTAAAAAGCTACTATAAAATTTAAGTTTTCTTCTAAATTTATTCACTCTATATTTATTAAACGAACATAATACTTTATTACATATACTAAAAGAAAACTACAAAATAATGTTTATTTATTTAGACACATCAACAGCAATACACACAAAACATTCAAGTTTAAAATTAACATGTATATAATTAAGCACTGGTATTTAAGCCAGTTACAGGAATGTACAGCAAACTCTTATAACACACTATGACATGTTACAGCAATTTTACAAACAGCGGAAAAATAGGCTAAATTTAAATGTTAACAGTACGATAAAAAAACGATATTTGAAAATAACATGAAAACAAGAGTTAATGTTTGTGAACACGGTCTCCGATACTGCTTTAGCCCACTGAGTTCTCGCCGGATCTTCTTAGTGGGTCACGCTTCCGATTCGGTGGTAGATTCTGCGAAGCACTACTCTTGCTAGGACTAGTGTTAGCAAATTCTCTCAGGTTGAGCCTGTGAGCTCACCTACCCGTCGGCGCGTATCTAGAATAGCCTGTTAAGCTACCAGCGAATAGGTAGAGAATGCTGCTTGGAAAATCGTTTTTAAATATGTATTCAGCTTAAACTCTCCCACCACATTGGTGCCAGTTTAAAAAACAAAACAGAAACATTTTAAAAACATATTAAACCGTTTAGTACAAAATGTAGTAATTTTCACTGTGCCCATAAATAATATTTATTTTAATTCGTTTTTGTTTACTGATATTATTATTGTGAACCTTAGAATTTAAGATTTATTATTCGACATTCCAACAACATTTGTTGATAGTAAATAAAAATAAATTTATCAATACATAACTTTTAATGTGTAAATAAATAAAATTCGTAAACCTGTTTTGAGTTTTGATTTTCAAACGCAATAGCTACATATTATCGGCAATCGTAAAAGTAAAAATGACAATTAAATGTCAAAGAAACGTCACATCCAACTATTTTGGTTTTTAACGATTGATGCACGGGTTTTTTTTTAAAATTAATTCTACTATTTCAAAATTGTGCCTCCCTCCCGTCATCTTGTTGTATTCGTAAATGTAATTCAAAATGTAAGTGTAATTCACTAAGTATAAAACAATATACCCTTCAATGGAACCGTGGAATAATTTTCGTATTTTTGTATCGCTTGTGCTCTAAAACTTGTCCGGCTTCTTGTTCGTGTTATAACTATCTACTTAAGTTCCTAATGGATTTTATAGAAGGAGAACCCGGTAGACAATTATGTAAATTCAACGATTACAAAGAAAATTTAAATGTAATTGAAGTACACAAAACCGAATATTATTAAACTGGAATAACATCGTTAATTAAATCATCGCAATATGTACAAGCTTTTTCTTTGCTGCTATGAAAGCGATCGCGATAGCTATAGCGTTTGAAAATTAAAGCAACTTTTTTTATATAATGGTGATGCATCTAAATGGTTGTTGAATTATTATTTCGATTGTTAGGTAAATTAAGATAATCAGACTAATCGTTTGTAAGGTCCATGATATTTTAGTGAATATTGAATTGTAACGCTTTGTCGGAGATCAGTTTTGATTAAACGTTGCCTGCTTGAATTTCGGCACTTGTCGCGAAATGAAAATTAGTTTTTAATTTTTTTATGAAAGTAAGTGTACACCGCTGACAGTCATTCGAGTGAAATTTCGCTAAAGTTTAAAAACGCGGAAGTGAAACATTTGAGAAAGAACCTACAAAAAAGTCTGCTGACTTGTTAAGTCTGTATACTCGCCACAACTTGACAAGCTTCGCACAGTCGCGATAATCAGCAGATCGTCAGTACACATTAGTGTGCTTAGTGCGAGTTTTTTAACGTTCCCGATGGCGTAAAAGTTATAATAACTCAAATTTGCATGCAGTTGAAACAGCGCCCCTAGCGGCAAACGTAGGAAAACGTTCCAACTCCATACAATTTTGAGTTAACTTTTACGCTATCGAGAACGTTAATTAACTCGCACTCGCCACTCAACAAGTTAGATCCGACAAGCGTTCCATTAAGTTTAGTTAAGGTAACAGATCATGTCACAGTGTCCGGTGCTAATAAATTTAATAAGTTTTTAACTGTAACGTTTAAAATGAGTGCAGACTTCTTTGTCTCTTCAATGTTTTCGCTGAAAGGATTTCTAATTAGATAAACAAATGAAACTAGTTTTATAACTAGTAAGTTAAGTAAGCGTTGTTTTCTATTTACAGTTAACAGCGTGAACAGAATTTTTCAAGAAATGCGGGTACATTTTATTTTATCGAAATTTTAACACGTACTTGTCAGATTTATCGGTTGTATAATTACTCGCCTCATTTCATTTTCAGACGTCCGATCATTTTAAATTGAAAACACGTATAGAGAGAACCGATGCAATAATTCTATTAATTTTGAATGTGGTAGGTATTTAATGAGGTTTTTTTTACTATAGATTATACTACATTGGGAGTATGGAATTAGTATGGTGACCAGACATTATGTCTTGCAATAGTAAATGTTTATTATACAATTAAAAAGCTTATTAGAAGAAATAAGTCATAGATTTCACGCCCGGAACTTTTACAAAATTATACACTACGTTAGTCCATTTGGAATATGCATACATAACTGGAATCCGTGGACTGGAATGGAATTCGTGACTCAAAAATGGTAATTGTAATAACATCGAACTGTAAACGGAGTTATTTAAATGAACAAATAATGCTATGAGATTTAATACCTATCTTCTGGTATACAATAGTCAATGTTGGTCGCAAATAACACGAAACTATTGTTTTGTACTATCCAGTTTTAAAAATACTCACTAAATAATACATTTCCTACCGCGCGATGTATGTATATAGAATTACAAAACAAAAATCATCTAAAACTAAAATAGAAAATGAAATTTTGTAGTTGTCCTAAATTTATTCGTATTAATTTTGTTCGGGCAATGTTTTATGATTATTGTTGCGAGCAATTCAAAAAGACATATCATGACAATGCAATAATCGCGCGCAAGTAATTTTCCTATTAATGTATTCCAAAATAAGCTTACCGTTAGCGATACCGGAACGTTGACTAGGTTCAGTGTTTATTTATAAAATTTACTATTGTTCTAATGTAATTAACTTTATCAGTTGCGATGAGGCACAGAAGTAGTCTATTCAAACAGTCCAAAAACAGTCTGCACTCATTTTGACACGTAACTAACCTACATTCTCAATTTTGAACTTAAAATGTTGTATTGTTATAATTTTGTAAGATATTAACTTTTAATATACCTTAATAAAATATACTGATCAAATTTAATGTTTGTATTATTTTATTGTCTTAAAGTAGTCCAGTGTTTCTACTCATAAGAACAATTCGTCCAACAAAAAACCCGTTTCCTAGTTCTACTAACTTTAACAGCCTGGCCACGGGACATTCGCCGATGCGAATATTCGCGCGGTGCGAACGGCGAAGCGTCTAGCGACTAAAACAAGCGCATAGAAATGTACCTAACAAGCCACGCGCACCGGCGACCGGCGAAGCGACCGGCGAAATGTACCGAGCGAATCGCGCGATGCGGCGGGCGAGCAAAACAAATGCATGAATACGGACGGCGCGAGCCACGGAGTCGAGCGGTAGTCGCGGCGAATAGTGCAGTGATTAAATGAGTTTAGTTGTTTTCGCCGCGAAAAATTAACGCCGAAATTTTTATATTTTTTATTTATTTTTTATTTTATATTTTTAAAGTCGTCGTGGCCTAACGGACGTCCGGTGCAATCGTGTTGAGCGATGCACCGGTGTTCGAATATCAGGCGGGTACCAATTTTTGTAATGAAATACGTACTCAACAACACTCAACGTTCACGATTGATTTCCACGGTGAAGGAATAACATCGTGTGATAAAAATGAAATCTTCAAAATAATAATTTGCGTAATTACTGGTGGTAGGACCTCTTGTGAGTCTACACGGGTGGGTACTACCACCCTGCCTATTTCTGCCGTGAAGTAGTAATGCGTTTCGGTTTGAAGGGTGAGGCAGCCATTATAACTATACTTGAGACCTTAGAACTTATATCTCAAGGTGGGTGGCGCATTTACGTTGTGGATGTCTATGGGCTCCAGTAACCACTTAACACAAGGTGGGCTGTGAGCTCGTCCACCCATCTAAGCAATAAAAAAATAAAATAGCTGAAATACTAGCTAGACCAGCTATTTGGAAGTCTAGCCACCCAAAGTATTTCTCGTACTTCTTGTGGAATTCTCCATCTATAGGTATACTCCGATTCTTATTCAAATCATGTACTTCACAATCTTTTCCAAATAATAGGTCCTGAACCAAAAAACTATTAATTTGTAAGCAATATCGAGATAATTTCGATATAGACATTTCGCTGTCGGACTTCCTTACTAGTCGCGGCGGCGAACGTGAGTACCCGTGGCCTGCAAACGGTGCTGCGCGAATGGTCGCCTCGCCCACCGCTTCGCTGTTCGCACCGCCGATCCCCGTGGCCAGGCCGTAACTGCTTTAGTGCATCATCATACCCTACTCAACTTTTTATTTATTTTTTATTGCTTAGATGTGTGGACGAGCTCGCAGCCCACCTGGCGTTAAATGGTTACTGGAGCCCATAGACATCTACAACGTAAATGCGCTATCCACCTCGAGATATGTTCTAAGGTCTCAGTATAGTTACAACGGCTACCTCACCCTTCGAACCGAAACGCATTACTGTTTCACGGCGGAAATAACCTACTATTACTACCCATTAGCAGCACTATTCAGAACTCGACAGTCAGCAATCTACAGAAGCACGTATTTCAAGATTACTTCGTTCATTTATTGCTATGCGGATTTCAAGTACCCAGGTGTCACCCTCGACAGAGGAATGATGTCCTTCCGACACTACTGCTAGTATTTCGTCACGAATTAGGCGCTGTAACTGCATTCCCGCCATTAAAGTCTGGCCAGCCTACACCACGGGCTTCGAAGGCTAAGTGCTTAGGCGTCACCCTCGACAGCAGGATAACATTCGAGCCCCACATTAAGTCAGTACGCGTCCGAGCCGCGCTCCCACTCGGTCGACTCTACCCTATGATCTGCTGGCGAAGTAAATTGTCCGTTTGTAACAAGGTGGCAATCTAAGAAACTAGAAGTTCCGACATGACCTATGCAAGTGTAGTGTTGGCTCACGTGGCCTGAACAAAATATCTCTAGGTTATCCAGTTCAGTTTCTGCAAGATACCCGTCGGAGCACCGTGTTATGTGGGGAATGTCGACCTCACGACGGTTTAAATCTAGAAACAATAAGTAAATGCCTAAGGTAGCGTCAGAAAGCTACTTCATCAAAGTGGCGCGACACGATAACCCTTTTTCCTGGCCGCCGCTAATTGTATATCCAACCCAGGCGACGGAGAAACGCAAATCCACCGTAGCCCGAAACATGACTTGTCGGATCCCCCGGATCCACTCTTGATGTTTTTAGGGTGTTCAAGCACCGCTCTGAGTCAGTCACTCGCCGATTGAGATCCGTCAATAGATTCTGCGAAGCACTTCCCTTAATAGGGCTAGTGTTAACAAATTCTCTTAGGTTGAGTCAGTGAGCTAGCCTACCCTTCCGCGCGTGGCTAATATATCCTCTAAACCTACCAGCGAATAGGTACGGAATTGAAACCGAAATAAATAATAATATTAAAAAATAATTTATATTAATTGTTTTAAATTCATTCGTTTAAGATACCTAAGTTTTAATTTTATTACGGCCTAGAATTTTAACAAAGTGCACGGTGAACGTACGTATCGAGACATTTGACAGCTGGCAGCCCCGTGCGGTACGAATTTCATTTTTCACACGGTAGCCCGAAATTGAGCTGTCAAGACGTTTTACCTTCAGAAGAATGTAGAAACAATTGATTTTACACGTTATTTATTAGTTGTTTTTCTGAGATTGTTTACTTTGTTTATGAAGTTTAATTACATAGCCGTTTAACTGTCACACGATGGCAGCCACGGCTCACAGCGAGCTATCGGTGGCCGAGCTGAAGGCTGAAATCGAGAGGCTTGGCCGAGAGCTCGACCAGGCAAGTAGTGAGAAGATACAATCGGCTCAGCTTGGCCTGGTACTCTTGGAAGAAAAAAGCGTCCTGCAGCAACGATGCGACGAACTGGAAATCCTGTACGAGAACACCAAACACGACTTGGAGATAACACAAGAGGTTAGTGGCCTACATTCAGTCTCATTAATTTCGCTCTTCATGCATTAACGAGTTCATTAAAAAGAACTGAAACGAGGATTTGAAATTTATACAATTTCACATTCGAATCTTTTACTTTCTAAAGCTACTGAATAAAGTATGATAAATATTATAACCTACATAGAACTTTTGTAATAGGCAAATCTTTGTTAATTTCGCATTAAAGACTAACAAAACATGCAATTGGCTAGGGCTAAAAAGAGTTTTTATTAGTTTTTATTATAAAATAAAAACTTTTAAGTGATAACTTGGAATAATAAACGAAAGCCATTAATTATGATTTAATGGTTGGTAGAATTTACATGTTAAATACATTATAATTTTACTTTCTCTGTTACACAATAAAAGAATAGGAAAAGGTTTTAGCTCCAAAGTGGTGTGATAAAATCTACATAACCACTAATAACAGATCATTATCTCCTAAATTAAACTATTATGATTCAGAGTAAGAGTAAGAAGTGAGTGATATTGAAGGAAAAAATCTAACAAAAAAATATTGTAATTTTTCTCTGATAAAATCATAATGACATTTGGAAACCAATTTTTGTATGGTTATTATAAAAAAAAATTACTTAATTCATATAATAAACTGGTGATTTAATTTATTTATTGAATTTAAAAATAAAACATTTTAATACATTCATTACAATATTGTTGAGATTTTCAAAGCAAGTGAAAGCAGATAAAGTGTTAATATTCTGCATCTAGTAAAATTGATCAAAATTCAGTGTAAGCTGTTGTTTACAGAAGTCTCAATCAATATTCTAGTTTCTGCATATTATAGACACGGCAACTGAATACTACGTTTAATATCTGATTTTGAAATAGATATAGTTAACTACCACTTTTCTACTCTGTATCTATCTAGTAAGGCCTGTTGATGTGAATCCTCCACAAATTCTGGACTTACACTAAAATCATTAACCCGATTGAACCTCAAAACTTACTAACATGACTTTATGGGATAAGTCACAGAAGAATCCGTTTCAGAGCTGAATACAGAATGATGTTAGTTAAATTGATGAAACTAAGTTAAAGTTGCTAGAGTGGTGAAAAAGGTCTATAAAGGACCTGTATATCTCAAATACCTTGTTATTAAAATAGATTACTAGTTGTAGGATGTCTTGTGAGTCTGGACATTTATATACCAGCACCCTGCCCATTTAAGCCATGAAGCAGTAATGCAGTTTGGTTTGAAAGACGAGGTGGCCATTATACTGTAGAAATGAGATTTAGTTGCATGTCTGAAGCTGTCTGCTGGCATTATTGTAGGATCATCTAAACAATAAAAAAAGTATATAGACAGAAACTGCATTTAACTAAAAACTGAGTTAAATGTAGGAATGAATTTCAGATATCACTTCCAGTGCCCTGAAGAATCTGTACAAAAAGTATTATTTGTTTGAATCGCGATGACTAATCAAGAGATCGGCTTGAGTAGCACAAAAAATTGTCTGGGCTATTATTTTTTATCTCCAGTTTTTCTTTTTATTTGATTTAAAACGAACATATTTTGCTTTGTGTCATATCATTCTTCAAATGAGATTTGTAAAGATTTCGCAGCATTAGGCAACTGCCTGTCTGTGCTCCTGGCATTATTATTATTAATTTTTTTCTGACTTTTTTACTGAAAGCCTGTGATGCAATTTCAGCTATGCCCAGACTGGGATCTATTATATATCATACATAAATTTGAAGTTGGTCAAAGTCATACTTTCTAGTGTAAAACATGTCAGCTCTAAAACGGAAATGGAATTCCATAACTTTTATTATTGTCTGAGGATGGAAAGTAACATATGTGACATCAATGCTCGAGACTCAATTTAAAATAAATAATACTTTTATAGCTCTTACATATGCTGCTTATAAATAAGGCATCAATAGGGAAGTGACTGAGCTAATGATATCTGAAATAAATATTTCGAACAACCCTAATATTTTAACAACCGCACGTATTTTCGCATCACGACTGAAATGCATGCTTTAAAAAAAAAAAGCAAGGCGAAAGAAGGGGAAAAAATACTCTTCAGGCTTCACTCAGACGTGTGCCCGTATACATTCAAGGTGCATTTTAATTGAATAGGCTGGGGCTTCACTGAATAAAATGAGCTACGCTTTACAATATTCATTTGCTTTGCTGAAAATAAACATACGCTCTGGAGTGAAAACCTCCTTTATATGAAGTCAGTTAAAAGTAATAAATACAATAAATAAGTCGTCGTGGCCTAAAGGATAAGACGTCCGGTGCATTTGTATTTAGCGATGCACCGGTGTTCGAATCTCGCAAGCGGGTACCAATTTTTCTAATTAAATACGTACTTAACAAATGTTCACGATTGACTTCAACGGTGAAGGAATAACGTCGTGTAATAATAATGAAATCCACAAAATTATAATTTGCGTAATTACTGGTGTTAGGACCTCTTGTGGGTCCGCACGGGTAGGTACCACCGCCCCGCCTATTTCTGCCGTGAAGCCGTAATGCGTTTCGGTTTGAAGGGTGGGGCAGCCGTTGTAACTACGACTATACTGAGACATTAGAATTTATATCTCAAAGTGGGTGGTGCATTTACGTTGTAGAAGTCTATGGGCTCCAGTAACCACTTAACATCAGGTGGGCTGTGAGCTCGTGCACCCATCTGAGCAATAAAAAAAAAACAATAAGTAAAATAAAATCGCGAATCATTTTCGCCAGTTGCTTATCAATAATTTATACCTTTAGTTTTATTGTGATTGTTTAGAGTTTTTGTTGCTACCGACGATTGCCTTGTTAGCGTTCGCCTTAATTAACTTAATCTTGGTCTTTTCAATACCATGAATTCGTTCAGATGTAGAGAAAACATTTTTTTCATGTGATGCGATGTGATAAAAATCATTCGCGCAGCTACGAAAAGGATTATAAATCTATCTCAAAAGTTAAATAAGAATAAAGACGTTTGAAACTATACTACGATTCCCAGTACTGTGGGAGCCAAATTTTGATGTACAAACTTATATAATACCGACGCTTGAAAGGCAAACGTGACTAAGGGACAATAACTGCTTTGTATATAAATGAGAGTCAATAACCATATACGATGCGCAAAAAAAAAAATATTTCTAGGTCTATTAAAATAATTTCAATCCTACAGCTAGATTCGTTAAATAATAATTTTTTTCAGGTATTTCAACTTTAAATTAGTCTAATGTAAAGCTCACGCATTGTAGCTTAGTCACGTTTGCCTTTCAAGCGTCGATATGTACTTTTATTTATTAAATAGACACTATACAATATTAACTGTTTGAATGCCACGTAGGTCACCGGTGTCGGACGTGACGCACTGAAGTAATTCTCTAGTATTCTTAACTCTTAAAAGGACAAATCCGAAGATACTGAGAATGAATCTATTTCTGAGAGACCTAAAAGACTCCTTCATCCGTGCGTCGTGTTCCTCAGTGCTGAGGGTCGCGACCTTTACGGAGCACTTTTATTAGGACGAAGTCCCTCCATTCCTTTCTGTCCTCCGCGCAGTGGATAGCGACGTTGATCCTGGAGTCCAAAGTCGTCTTAGTCTGATCAGACCAGCGCATGGGACTACGCTCCCTAAGCCTCTTTCCTTCCACTTTGCCGGTGAAGAGTAGTCTTTCGAGATTGTTACCCCGTTTCCTCGCAAACAAACAAAAGAAGGCAAAGTTAGGCAATCCAGACGCTTAGTAACAGAAATCAACAGAGTTACTTCAAGGCGCCGCATAGGGCACCAGTGAGTGACCTACACGGCGGTCGAGGGATTAAACATCCAGACAAAGAGCAAACAAATATGTTCATCACACAAATGTTTTCCCTTATGCGGAAAAGCGAACACTGGCCCGACAATCAGAGGCGCTAACTTTCCACCACCGAGTCAATCAATGGCTATATCTGAACACCGGAAGATGCCAATACACGTGTAGGCTGCGGTTTGGCTCTGCCCCTGGCATTGCTGACGTACATGAGCGACGGTGAACACTCACTATCAGGTAGGCCGTTTGCCTACAAGGACAATAAAAAAGTTGTAATTTGGAAACTATTTTATTGCAATGTGATGTGTGATGATACATGGAGGACTGATTTTGTAGATATTGTTTGGCTAACGGTTATCGGAGCTTATAGATAACAACTCAAATACCGCCATCTAACGACCAATTTTTCTAATGAAATACGTAGATTCGTGCTCATTAACCAGATCAACGGTATAACATCGTGTTTTTTTTATTGACCCTGTAGTCAGACAAGCATACGGCCCACCTGATGGTGAATGGTTACTGTCAATCATGGACATCAGCAACGCGAGGGGCAGAGCTAAGCCGCTGCCGCCGTTTAATACTCTCCACAAGCCTCGTGTAAAATCAACGTTCTGTTATGATACCCTCTGGTTCCTAGCCTTGCTTTCATCATCACCTTTCCCGAATAGCATCAGCAATTATGATCCTTTACTAGAGAACAATCCCCTCCCTAGTCAGTCAGTTCTATTCCTAATTCCACACGGCACGGTTGCCGTCATTGTCGTCGTAAAAATCTTTATATGTCTATTTCACCAATAAAATCTTTTTTAAAAAGATATTTTCTCAATTACGTATAACAGTTCGCAAAAAAATCGCGGTATCATTAAGCCCGCTCTTTGAGATATTCACGTTGTGATATATATGGACTCCGGTAACCGCGTAACATCAGCTGGGCCGTTAGATCATTTAAGCAAAGCAAAACCAACCTTGAGTATTAGCTGGAATAGGCAGGGTGATAGTACCTAATCTTGTGCGACCACAACACGCCGTTTGTAAAACCTTAAATAAAATCTACCGATACGGCTTCCTTCAGCACTGATCACTAATTAAACACGTTGTTTCTTATACAGGCTTTAATGAAATTGGACTCGTCGCAGAAGGTAACAACGCAGAGTGGTATAGAACAAGAGAATGCCCTCCTCAACGAGTCAGCGGCGATGGAGAGCTCCCTCACTCTACAGATACTTGAACTGGAGAGCGAAACTAAACAGGTACGTTTTGGGATGTCAATAACGCGGTAAGTTAATCCATAGCATTTATTGGGGTTTCTTTTTTTAATCTCTATCTATACGTTGGTAGCTTTTTTTTTTCCTACTTAAGCTGATAGCCTAGAGAGGCTATATCAGCGTCGCCTTAACTAGTAGGTGAGCTCACGGGGCTCAAACCTGACGACGTTGCTAACACGGACCCTAGCAAGAGCCGTGCTTCGAATCTACTACCGGATCGGAAACGCGACCCACTGAGAAGATCCGACGAGAAACTCAGTGGGCTGTGTCTGAGGGTAGTAGCTTAAGAGATATTCCAGCTACGCTATGGTCGGTAGGTGAACTCACAGGCTCAACCTGAGAGAGTTTGCTAAAACTAGCCCTAGCAAGAGCAGTTCTTGGCTTTTGCCGTGTTATATCACTCGCTCAGTAGAAGATATACTCTTTATCGTTTATTGCTCTAAGTAGGTACGTCAAAAAAATACTGTTTTAAATATTTTACCATAATTATGGAGGGTAAGGAACGCCATCTTATTTAAGGGACAAGTTGAAATAGTGTCCACCTGTAAACGGAAACTTATAGTTCGAAAACTCACCGAAGCAGCGCTAGTGTAGGAAGTGGAAATTATATGAATATAGCAGTTTTAAACAGAGCGAAGTTTGCTGGATTGAAGTGAAGTTTATGGCGCTTTTTAAAATGTTTCCACTTGCGACTATGGCGCCACCTTAATTGGCTCATTTTCACTTATTAATACACTAAGATGTTGCTCCTTACTTCTACCGTCCATATGTATAATATGAATTACAGTGGGATGTTCGCTTATAGACAGCGGCGACATCTGTTAATTTAACACACATTTGTAAAACCATTTTAGATTAGGGAAATACATCTACATTTAAATGAAAGTTTGGAGAGAAGATAACTGAAATCAATCTTATTATTTAATTATCTATACTAATATGATAAAGCTGAAGAGTTTGTTTGTTTCTTTGGTTGAACAAGCTAATCTTAGGAACTACTGGTCCAATTTGAAAAATTCTTTCAGTGTTGATTCTCCAAATCTCTTTCCAAGTTGGTTAAAAAGCGTGATTTTGTTACATTAAATAGCTCCTTAATATTCTATTATTCAAAAGTATTTTCACCTTCTACGTAAATGAAGTCGCGGGTAAAATTTAGCGTTATCCCAAAGTAACGAAGCCGCGGGCAAAAGCTAGTCTTATATATAACAAAAAATGATCCCTCTTATACTCGAATATCAAAAGCTAGGGACGACGAATTCGCTCTTCAATGGGAAGGACTGTATACGAACCGCTTTTTTAACCACGTCTGAAATGATTATTTAAAGCACAAAAAACAGGAATTAAATTTATTATTTATTGCAATTTGTTCATTTTATATGGAAAACAATTTGATAATTAAAAAAAAAAAACCAAAGTAGAGATTGTTCATTACAAAAAACAAAAAAAAGAGCACAGATGTGTCTATGTCCCTGAAGAGGTTAAGGAGTGCATCGTTTTGTAAAGATCCCTCCGGCGGAAAACTCCTCTTCATTCGTACCTACCCACACATTGACTCAGCAGCAATTATGTTCTTGAAAACTAGTTTTTTTTTGCGTCGCACGGTATTAATATCACCGCGTTCTTTGAGATAATTTTTTTTGTTGTTCATTATTGATAACGCTCATGATGAGCGTCTCGTAAACAGGCAATTGAAGGAAATGTTTTTAATAATAAATTGATATGTTTAGTTTTGAATAAAATAAAATAAAATCTTTATAGAAATATGGAATTTTGGTATGCAGCGGCTTGGCTCTGCCTCTGGCATTGCTGAAATTCATGGGCGACGATAACCACTCACCCTCAGGTGGGCCGTATGCTCGTCTGCGTACAAGGGCAATAAAAAAACCTGTTTATTTTTGTTGTTTCGATAATAATTTTCAAATGAAGGCTAGTATATATAGAGTATGGTAATGTCGAAGCCCACTGAGTTTCTCGCCGGATCTTCTCAGTGGGTCGCGTTTGCGATCCGGTGATAGATTCAGCGAAGTACTGCTCTTGGTTGAGCTAGTGTTAGCATATTCGCCAGGCTGAGCCCCGTGAGCTTCGCCTACACGTTCGATAAACTAGTATAACCCCATGAGGTTAATAGCGTTGGCAAAAAAATTAAGTAATGTCAATTTGACTCGGCGATTTCTTGCGACTCGCTCAATAACCAATCAGTTGTGAAACCTTCCGGTGAAATATTTTTGATATGAATATAATAGCTAACTTATTGAAAATAAATATTGAAATAATTCGAAACCCCTTGTATTTAGTAAATGACTTGATGCATCTACGTTCATCAATGTTCACAGCTAACGTCTTGGTAATACGATTATTGACAAGGATACGTAAAAATTTTCGTCAGCCTAAAACGATCCTTATTAAGCAATAACATTTTTTTTGTATATATTTAAATATGGACCAATCAAAAATACAGCTAATATACGAGAAAAAATCTCTTTAGACATCAGGACCGCACTATTAAGTTAGCACAGTGACGTCAGCGTTCATTATGGTGATTTAAATTTTGTATTCGTTGCGAGCGAATAATGCCCTCGCTGTTCCAATAAAAACATAAATACAATTTAAATCATTTTCTTTATTTAATCTTGTCTTTGCATATATTAACTCATATATTATAAAATTCAATAAATCCATATTCGTACGAATATTATAAATGTGAAAGTGTGTTTGTTTATCCTACTTTCACGTCGAAAGAAGCATCGAATCGACTTGATTTTTAAAATAAGTGACAGTGTTAAATATAGATATTGATAGGTTACCTTTTATCCCGAAAAAAAAAAACATCCACATATCCACAGGAAACTACACCGACACGTTTCCTTGACCACGCGAGCGAAGTCGCTCGTAATAGCTAGTAGAATAAATATGTAGACTAGAGTTTCATTTGAAACAGACGTGTGAGCCGCAACGATTCATTAACGTCCGTCAATGTAAATCTGTCTAGAACTAAAGAGTCAGAAACGATGTCCAAGCCCGCATTGCAACGACTGTGAATCAGCGAAACGTTCAGACGCAAGGATACATCCATGTAATCATTTTATTAGCTCAGCTTCCCCAGAAACGTTGTGGGCAACGAAATTGGAGCAATTGTCCGTGAATCATACGTTAATTCTCTCGCTCAGTTCTCGTAGCACGCCCCTCGTTCGCACGTCGCTACTAGAGTTCCGTTAAAATTCTAAGGACCGCGCGTACTGAAGCTCCTTCAGCAGCGACCATGATGTAATGCCCCGTAGTGGCGTAAGCGCGTTCGTCTGAACGATCCAGAAATAAAAAGTCGATTCGGCCGACCTTGATTCGAATATTCATCGCTCAACTCGGATGGATGGTGTAAGGTTTTGATAATGCATCGTTTACACGTGCATTCTTCCGTGTGAAGTGACAAATGTGTGCGTGCGAATAATCTAAATAATGTTTTAGTTTTGTGCGCGGACGATAGTGTAAAAACGTTTTTTTTTTTTGTGGCTCTCTCGTAAATATGAATGAACGCGAAAAGGTGATGAATACGTAATTATAGTTTTAAATGTAAAAATTGTAGATTTGTTCTTGTGTGTTATTTACGTTATGAGTTGAATTTTTTGTCTGACAATATCGGTGGAAATACAGTGGGAAGGAATGTTATATACATTCAACATAAAGCTGTACCAGTTGTTTTACAAGATATTAAGGAAATCACAATAATTTCTGGTGACATTGCATTAGACAAAAATACTACACTACTACCCCGAAAAATAATACATGTTGTAGGATATGAACAACAGGTCGGCTTATTAGTAAAAACGATGTCTTCCAAACAATGAAAGAAGACATGCTAGAAAACAAATAACGATGATGTATATAATTATTTACAATTAAATATATTCTAAGCTCCGACTGGCTTCCCGCCCGGTCCGGGGTAGGGCGCCGGCTGTGAGCGGCAGGAGTTTTTAGTGAAGTTCGACTCCCACACGGCAGGTGGGGATCCGGCGATTTTCTCATATAGATACAATGGATTTTTTCTGATTTTATAAACTAATTTTAATATTCGGTACTTTGGATCTTGATACTATAAAATATTTCACAAAACACAAATCGATACTATGCGTTACTAAAGTATCTTCTTTTTTTTCTCATCTGAGCGTTATGCTACCAGCGAAGTAGGTTAAAAAAATCTATTTTTTTTTTTCGTCATAACAAAATAGTACTTTGTCCCCACAGTCCAATAGATTTAGTAAATAAAAAAAAAAATAACGGTTACTATGACGCGAAATCCGTATGAATATTTAAGCGTATAGCCGAGTACCTATACTTGTAACCTCGCCATCTAGTAAAATATTCATCTATTCATTACAAACTGTCAGACGAACTAGCCTGTTGTACGGTTTAGTAATTAAAATGACTAATTTCTCTTGACAAACTCTGTAATGAATACCGAAATTCTAAACCCATAATAATGGTTTCAGAGAATTTCATGGGCTTGTATGCATTGGAATTGTGTAAGGTTCTATTGTGAATTTTTATTTTTATACGTTTTACGGTTTTCGGTATTGTTAGCCCACTGAGTTTCTCGCCGGATCTTCTCAGTGGGTCGCGTTTCCGATCCGGTGGCAGATTCTGCGAAGCACTGCTCTTGCTAGGGTCAGTGTTAGCAACTCTCCGGTTCGAGCCCCGCGAGCTCACCAACAAACGTTAGGGCGAAGCTGAAATAGCCTCTCAAGGCTATCAGCATAGGTAGGAAAAAAAGAAGATATTGATTCCTGTGCGCCTGTACAACAAAATCCCACAAGATGTTCAGAACCTACATATACATAGGTTTTAGAAAACTATTAAAGAACATCTGTGCAATAAAGCTTACTATAAAGTCAATGATTATCTAGAAGATTGCACAAAGTGGGAATGAGTTGCTCGCTCCGGGCATTTCAATATTGTAATAATTGTTATGTTATAATTACTTACTGTAAACA